TCATATGTTTAAAGCACTCTCATTCCATGGTTTCCTCCCCCAAAGGATCCCAAAGAGATTTTCCTTGTTTGTACTCTGGCAACAGAATGAAAGTTACTTTATTACAAAGTCTATGCAGTGGGAGAAATTTCTGTGCAACTCAACGTTTTGTAAAGGCTCAATTAATGTGATTTTATATTTTCAAACATCCCGTAGAACAGAGGTCACGCTACTGTTTTCCTGGGGAATTCTGCCCTTTGCAGTGTGCTTAACATCATCATCAGCGTTGCACTGAATTTTTGCGATGTATGTTTTAGATTCCTTTCTCTTACCACCCTGAAATTTGTGGAGATATCAAGAGAGTTTGCCAAAAACAAAAGAACAAAAATCACAAACAAAGGGGGGGGGGGAAAGAACTCAACCACATCTTCAGCACTTGATCCAGCTAATTCCCGTTACCTGGCTCCCTATAGTTTTGTTTTAAACTGTACACCTTAAATCAAATGCATGCCTACTCATAAATAAGTCCCATTGAGTTCAATGAACTCACTTCTGGGTAAGTGACTTCAGTTTCAGCCACCTAGTAATCTGTGCCAGAAACCATAACCCCCAAATGAATTGTTCACCTTTTTTAACTTTGGAGTAAGGCAATGCAGGTAAATGTGGCTACAGATTTTTCAACACCGCAAACTGGGGTGACTAAGTAGGATCTGTAGCTCCTGAAACAAAAAATAATTTTGGCACCCGAGCAGGTCCTGGGAGGCAAGAGAGAGGTGGAGCAATGAGATGGGGAAGACCAAAGACTTTCATTGAGACTGGGATAGAACCCACCAGTTTTTGAAGGTGTGTAGATGCAGCACAGCATAAAAGTATGTGTGTGGTTTTTTTCCTTTTAATGATGGGAGTTGTAGTCCATTGATGAACTACAGCTCACAACAGCCCTGACTCCTGATGTGATCACCTGCACTCCACAAATGAAAATTATGGAGTTTTTGCAGTGTATAAAAGATGCCAAGAGAAAACACAGGAAGGCACAACTGGATGACAACATTGTGTGGATATGCTCCAGAAAGTAGTGAAAGGAGCACAGGTATTCCATACTAAAAGTGCAAGCCCACAGTGTTCAGTGGGGTTTCTTCCCTAGAAAGTACATTTACAATTGCTCCCTTAATAAGCTAGTTCTACATGCTAAGGGAAAGAGCTGATGTTCTCTTTTTAAGGAGCCATCTGTTAAAAGCTGAAAGTAGGATACAAATTAAATAAAGAAAGAAAACAGGATAAAAGACCCAATGCCATTGGTAAATGCACAGCTGGAAAGTAAAATTCTAGACGTGAAATCTGATGGTGTCTTTGAATTCTGCAGTATGCTGTTTCTGGAGAAATAACAGAAAATGCACTTTGCAGTTGTAGTACATATGAAGTGCTACTCTCAACATGCAGGCAATTCAAGCAAGTGAGGCTAGGATTTTAATCTATGTAAAGTGCTGTTTTTTCCTCTAGGGATACAGAGCTCCCCCTCCCCACCTCTGTTGTTGTTAATAAGTAGGTCATTCCTATATTTTTAGACAGGAGAGTAAACTAACTGTTTGAACTCTTCCATCTGAGGGTGAAAAACATTGATTATTACACTTCTATGCAGCACAAAAGCACCTGTAGTGTTTACTCTGACCCATCAAATATTTATCATTGTTCCTGAGAGGCTATTTCAATTGCGAAGAAGGCAATGCTCTTTTTTAAAAAAAACTTGTTATCTCCATGGGAAGTGGAGAGATATGGAGCACATAACTCTAAAAGCTTAGAAGAACAAATCATACTGGCCAGCTTAAGAAATGTAGCTATAGAATTCTGATTCAGATATTCAAAAGGGAAAACCAAAGGAGGGGCAAGTTAGCTGTTTAAGAAGCAGACCAAGGAACGCTCTATGAATACTATGCAACTAGCTAGCTGTTGCATATAGAAAGTATTATTCTGATGGACAGCGGCTGGGGAGGGATTTTTACTGCCTTACTTCTGTGTTGTAGCAGAGGCTGAGCTGCCTAAGGTCAGGTGTACGTTTTCCTGCCCAGTATACCTGAAGGAGCGTCTCCACCCCCATCGTTCTGCCTGGACGCTGAGGTCCAGCGCTGAGGGCCTTCTGGCGGTTCCCTCATTGCGAGAAGCAAAGCTACAGGGAACCAGGCAGAGGGTGGTAGTGGCGCCCACCCTGTGGAACGCCCTCCCATCAGATGTCAAAGAGATAAACAACTACCTGACATTCAGAAGATATCTTAACGTATGACATATTAGTCTATTTTTGGTCTTTGTGGAAGCCGCCCAGAGTGGCTGGGGAAACCCAGCCAGATGGGCGGGGTACAAATAATAAATTATTATTATTATTATTATTATTCCTTCAAAAAAACCCTACTGCTTTAAGAATAGCACTGAATTTCCCCTCACTGACGGAATGGAAGCCATTAGTGTCGGCTTAACCCAGGGGCAGGCAACCTAGGGCCCGGGGGCCAGATGCGGCCCAATCGCCTTCTCAATCCGGCCCGCGGACGGTCCGGGAATCAGTGTGTTTTTACATGAGTAGAATGTGTGCTTTTATTTAAAATGCATCTCTGGGTTATTTGTGGGGCATAGGAATTCATTCATTCCCCCCCAAAAAAATATAGTCCGGCCCGCCCACATGGTCTGAGGGACGATGGACCGGCCCATGGCTGAAAAAGGTTGCTGACCCCTGGCTTAACCTATTTTCTAATTTAGTTAAATAATAAAATGCTAGATAAAAGAAAAGGAGAATTCCATGGGTGCCCCTAGAATAGATCAAAGTTTGGGGCAAGTACTCTTTGGAGAGAGTACCCTAAGCAGAGATTCAAAATCACAAAACATGTTTTACTTTGCTGCATGTTAGACCTTTAAAACTTCCTTTTCTACATCACTTCTAAAGTTCCCCACACTTCCCTTAGCATAAAAATAGACCACATATTTGTTAAGTTAAAAATGGTTTGCTTACAAACTCTTCCAAGGTCAGCAAGAAAAGACAGGCGGCATAACTTAGGTTCCAAAAATGGTAAATGTTTCTAAATTACTTGTACAGAAACACAAAAGAATGGCATGTTAATGCCCAGTGGTCTAAGCTTGGAGTGTCCAGTGGAAGAACGAAACAGCGCAAACTCTACAGACGTAGATGTACTTCAGTGCTACTTTCCAGCTTTTTGATGGGGGTGTAGTTTTGATAACTACAATGACATTCTTTCTGGGTGGGGGGGAGGTAGACACAAACATAGGACGCCGCCTTTTACTGAGTCAGACCATTGGTCCATCGTGCTTAGCATTGTCTACAGTGCACTGACTGGCAGCAGCTCTCCAAGGTTTCAGACAAGGTCCTTTCCCAGCCCTACCAGCAGATGCTGAGGACTGAAACTGGGACCATCTGCAGGTAAAGCAGATGCTCTACAAATGAACTGCAGCCTTTCAACAATATGGATTTTGGAACATTTCACAACAAATTCCCTGGTCTGCAGAACACCCTCCCATCAGATGTCAATGAAATAAACAACTCCAGTGGTACCTCGGGTTAAGTACTTAATACGTTCCGGAGGTCCATTCTTAACCTGAAACTGTTCTTAACCTGAAGCACCACTTTAGCTAATGGGGCCTCCCGCTGCCGCTGTGCAGTCGCTGCACGATTTCTGTTCTCATCCTGAAGCAAAGTTCTTAACCCGAGGTACTATTTCTGGGTTAGCGGAGTCTGTAACCTGAAGCGTATGTAACCTGAGGTACCACTGTATCTGACTTTTAGAAGACATCTGAAGTCAACCTGGTATGGGGAAATTTTTAATGTCTAATGTTTTATGATTTTTTTTTAATGTGCTGTAAGCCTCCTGGAGTGGCTGGGGAAACCCAGCCAGATTGGCAGGGTAGAATATTATTGTTATTGTTATTATTATTTAAACAGTGTTTCTGTGCACTCTGGTTTCCGTTACAGTGTTCCGTTTCGTCAGAAGCGGTTTAGTCATGCTGGCCACATGACCCGTGGACAAGCGCTGGCTCCCTCGGCCTGAAAAGCAAGATGAGCGCCGGAACCCCATAGTCGCCTTTGACTGGACTTCACCGTCCAGGGGTCCTTTACCTTTTACCTATTATTATCAGTGCTTTTTTCCCTTTAAAAACGTGTTTAGGGGTACTTTCATTTTCCTACTCATATTGAAATACTGCTCCTCGATGAGGCCAAAAGATTCACAAAATGTTTAGGGGTATGTGTACCCCTGCGTACCCCAAGAAAAAAAAGCACTTATTATTATTATTATTGGGGGGCAGGCAAGTCCTGCCTTGCATAATTGGCCACACTCACTAATTGAATGGTGATGCCCAGCAGCCTTTTTTGGAGGGGGGTGAGAAGGTGGGAAGCACCCCTGAAATATTTTATTGGGGAGGAGGGCGAAGCAAAGGAACTAGCTCCTCCTATGACTGTTTAGGACCAGGGCCGGATTTAGGTTTGAGGAGGCCCTAAGCTACTGAAGGTAATGGGGCCCTTTATATGTCCAGCTGTCCTTTGTCAACCACAAATTGTGGCTGTTTTTGGTATCCAATATATGCTATTTGGTAATTTATGGACCCAATAGGTATCTAAAGCCATTTGCACATAACAAAATATGTATTTTATCCAAGAAATTGTTGGACTTATCTTATATTTTGGAAATGTACATCCAGTTTATTTCCCCCTTTAAATTTTTTGGGGGGCCCCCAAGAGAGTGGGGCCCTAAGCTATAGCTTATTTAGCTTATACGTAAATCCGGCAGTGTTTGGGATATATAAATGTAATAATAATAATAATAATGTAATAATAAGTGAAACCAGCCCGGCTACAGAACTCGCGGGAAACTTGCCCCACTTCTTTTTGTTTGCTTATTTGTTTCTAATAAACCAGCGTGGAAGCATTTCCCCTCAAAACCCTCGACGCTTCCTCCTCTCCGGGGAAAGTCGCGCCACCGCGCGGCCAGGCCTCCTCCGTCCGCCTTCCCCCTGCGCGGCTCCTCCCTGGATGATGATCCTCTGCGCGGCGCGGCTCCTCCTCCCCGCCTCGGCCCGGCCCGGCCCGGCCTGCTTCGTGGGCCGAGCGAGCCTCCCTGAAGTGGGGCGGGGTGGGAGAACCGGTTTCCTCTGCGCTCTCTCATTGGCCAAGGTAGGAGCTCTCTCGCTTCCTCTCCTCCCCGGCTCTTTTCCCTCCCGAGCGATGCTCAGCGGCGCTGCCGCCCTCCAGCGCCTGACGCGGGGCCTGCTGCTTCGCCCTCGCCGCCCGCTCCGCGGGGTTAGGTGAGAGCGGCTCGTCCCGGGCGGTGGGGCGGAGGGGCGCGAGTGTGTCTGGTTGGGTTTCCAAGTCTTCCTTCCCTGCCAGGCCAACCCGGTGAAACGCCGCCTCGCCGCCTTTGCACAGGCGTGCCCTTGTTGCGAGTCCTTGCGACATCCCGCCAACCTGCTGGCGAAGCTGGGCTGAGGGAGAGCTGCCCTAGTAGGTCCTCATCTAGCTCCGTGTTGCCTGCACTGGCTGGCAGAGGCTCTCCAGACGTTTTCTGATGTTTATATGCGCGCTGGAAGCCGCCCAGAGTGGCTGGAATGGACGGGGTAGAAGTAATAATAATAATAATAATTCAGACTAGGGTCTCCCTCACAGCTAGAAATAAGGGACAACATGTGGTGTGGACGACCTGCTTTATTATTATTATAATTATTATTATTATTCAGACTAGGGTCTCCATCGCAGCTGTCCGCTGGAGAGGCCGGGGATTGAACCTAGAACCTCGTGCACGCAAGGAAATGCAACAAAAAGTCTGCCAAAGCGTGGCGATACCAGGAATCAAGTGTGACTAGAAATAAGGGACATCCTGTGGTGTGGAAGACCTGCATTATTATTATTATTATTATTATTAATGCTTTTCAGGTTAATACTTGGCACTGATTTTACAATCATTTTAACATTTCAAAAACTTCCTTCCCCCTCATTCTGCGGTTCCTTAAATTTTTAATATCTTCTGCATATCAAAATTAATTTAATTTGCTCATTTATTCATCTACTGTACTTTAAATGTATACAGTGGTGCCCCGCAAGACGAATGCCTCGCAAGACGGAAAAACCGCTAGACGAAAGGGTTTTCCGTTTTGAAGTTGCTTCGCAGGACGAATTCCCCTATGGGCTTGCTTCGCAAGACGAAAATACCTTGCGAGTCTAGAAATTTTTTTTTCGCTTTCCCCCCCCTTTATCTAATCTGCTAAGCCTTTAATAGCCTTTAATAGCCTTTTAGCAGCTAATCCCCTAAGCCTTTAAGCCTTTAATAGCCGCTAAACAGCTGATAGCGCTAATAGCGCTAATCCGTCAATGGGCTTGCTTCGCAAGACGAAAAAACCGCTAGACGAAGACTCTTGCGGAACGGATTAATTTCGTCTTGCGAGGCACCACTGTACTCTGGTTGTTGTTTAGTTGTGTCCGACTCTTTGTGACCCCATGGACCAGAGCATGCCAGGCCCTCCTGTCTTCTACTGCCTCCCGCAGTTTGGTCAAACTCATGTTGGTAGTTTCGATAACACTGTCCAACCATCTCATCCTCTGTCGTCCCCTTCTCCTTGTGCCCTCCATCTTTCCCAACATCAGGGTCTTTTCCAGGAAGTCTTCTCTTCTCATGAGGTGGCCAAAGTATTGGAGCCTCAGCTTCAGGATCTGTTCTTCCAGTGAGCACTCAGGGCTGATTTCCTTAAGAATGGATAGATTTGATCTTCTTGCAGTCCATGGGACTCTCAAGAGTCTCTTTCAGCACCATAATTCAAAAGCATCAATTCTTCGGCGATCAGCCTTCTTTACAGTCCAGCTCTCACTTCCATACATCACTACTGGGCAAATCATAGCTTTAACTATACAGACCTTTGTCGGCAAGGTGATGTCTCTGCTTTTTAAGATGCTGTCTAGGTTTGTCATTGCCTTTCTCCCAAGAAGCAGGTGTCTTTTAATTTTGTGACTGCTGTCACCATCTGCAGTGATCATGGAGCCCAAGAAAGTAAAATCTCTCACCGCCTCCATTTCTTCCCCTTCTATTTGCCAGGAGGTGATGAGCCCAGTGGCCATGGCCTTAGTTTTTTTTTATCTTGAGCTTCAGACCATATTTTGCGCTCTCCTCATTCACCCTCATTAGAGGTTCTTTAATTCCTCCTCACTTTCTGCCATCAAAGTTGTGTCATCTTCATATCTGAGGTTGTTGATGTTTCTTCCGGCAATCTTAATTCTGGCTTGGGATTCATCCAGCCCAGCCTTTCGCATGATGAATTCTGCATATAAATTAAATAAGCAGGGAGACAATTGTTTTATAAGAGTGGAATACCTGCTTTAAGCCCGGATGGGGGAGGGGCTCCCTGCCTCAGTGGGGCCCACTGCCCACAACTGCCTTGCACCCTCCTTTTTAAAAAAGTTGCTGGGTCCATTATACCGTATTTTTCGCCCTATAGGACGCACTTTTTCCCCTCCAAAAATGAAGGGGAAATCTGTGTGAGTCCTATGGGGCGACCCCTCTCACTCTCCAGGCTTCAGGAAGCTATCAGCAAGCCTGGGGAGGCCGCGGGAGTTCCCGCAGGGCTCCCCACGCTGCGGATAGCAGCCTGCCGCCCGGCGCGCAAAGCGCCCTGAAGCAGAGCACGCCGGGCAGACATCGGCCAGCCCCACAAGCTCGGGGGACAGCGGGGAGGCGCAGCGCCGCCATCCTGCTGTTTCCCGAAGTGGTTTTGGGGGGAAAATAAAGGAAATTCCCCCCCTTTATTTCCCCCCCAGAAAACTAGGTGCGTCCTATGGGACGGAGCATCCTATGGGACGAAAAATACGGTAATTTCCTCAGATGCCCTGGAGCGTTGGAGGCAGCAGTGTGCTCTTGCTCTTGCTGTGCTCCCTGGTTTCCCACAGGTATCCTGTTGGCCGCTGTGAGAACAGAATGCTGGACTAGATGGGCTGTTGGCCTCATCCAGGGGCAAAACTAGGCTTTATTTCACCCTGGTCAAAGACCCAGTTTGGCACCCACCCACCCCATGCACATTTATGGACACACGCACAGGCTGAGACCTTCAATGGCGCCCCTCTGGAGGCTTCATCTGAAGCCAAACAAAAATTACCACACACACACCCATAACTCCGGCTCTTCCTCATCCAGCAGGTTATTCTTATGTTCTTACGTAATAAGTGCCGAGTGTGGTTCATCCCCATTAAGTAGCTCCCAGGTGTTAAGTTGGGAGCCATAGAGCAAGCAGAAGCAATTGGGGAGTTGTTCTGCTTCTGTTTGTTTCAAATCCCTATACAACATGAGGGGCCTCTCCACTTTGCAGGGTTTCTTGTGAATTGCTGAGATGGGATTTGTGTGCTTGCTGAGCATCCTGCCCAGGTCAGGGCGACCTAGTGATCAAATTTCAGAAGTCTGATGGTTGCTGGGATACTTTGCAGATTAAAAATTCTACAGGTGTTGTCAGCGATAACAAAAAGTGAATGCCTCTGATTTGGCTCCTGTGCAAAACGTTTCGCCTAGCAAGTTTTAATTTGAGGAACTGCTATGTACAGCTTGATATCTTCCCCTCAGTGCTACAGGGCTTACTGTGTGTGTTTGATAGCTGCCTATTAAGTATTATTTGTAATGTAAGTAGTGGTGTGAAATGCAACTCCCTTATCCCATATGTCCTTACTATTTTCATTTTATGTTCATCAGTTTTTTAAAATAGCCTTTGGAGAATGTCTGTTGCTTCCTGTATGACAGTGGTCCTATTTAGTCCTATTTAAAAAGAGTTGAATGGCAGCATCACAGTATGGTTATGTCCATACCTGATGCTGTCAAGTGTGTGGATGGGATATCATTGCCAATGAAAAACTCCTGCAGGACTTTAGCACAACACATAGTTGTTTTTATTTCTATTTAAATGAATATGTCTGCCCTCTCCTTTTTCTGATGCTTAAATCAATTTAACATCACACAAAAAATATTATAATACAAAGAATAAAACAGTTCAAATATGCAACATGAAATCCTTTTAAAAACAACAACTGCAGAGATCACGAGTAAAAGCAACCGCTGCAGGCAAAAGCCTGATGGAGTGAAAATATATTTACCATGTTTTTAATGTGCAATTGTCAAGTGGTTTACATAACTGCACAGAGGTTTTTGCAAGAGCAACTGCAAAAAAAAAAACACAACACACACCCTACTAATTATAATTTGGTTGAATAAGTCTATGGGTGTCCATTTTGTATTGTTTTTAAATTTCATATTCTGTTTCCGTGTAACTGTTTTTTAGATGTTTTATTATGTTATATATACCTTGAGGTATCTATTTGGAAGGCTATTAATAAATAAGAATTAATTAATTAATAAACAACAACAACAAGCAAGCTGGTAAGCGAATGGGGTAGCAAGTAATGTTTCAGAGGAGCACCCATTACTCCTAAGAATAGAGCAGGACATTCTCCAAAATCTTGGAAATTCACATGTCATCATTGACTTGCATATAGGAGCTTGACTTTGAAGAAAGCTATCTGCAACAGAGTATGATATTGGGGGGGGGGGGAGGGTGTGCAGGCAAAAAACACAACTCCACTGTTAATTTTTCAAAAAGTAACCTGCATGGCAGCTGAGCAGAAATGTGAATCTGTAATAGATTAGCCTGGGATTAAATGGTATGTAACCTTAGTAGTGGAACATCCATGTGTAGCTTGAACGTTTGTTGGAATGTGAGCCAGCGGAGATGAGCCTACATTAGGGTATCAACTGATTTCCATGGGTGGACCAACACTTTTCTGGGGCTGTAATTCCAGCATTTCTTATCGTAATATATTGTTATTCTATCAATGCAAATAAGGAATTTTAGGATGCTTCAGCTACACCCACTTTCTTTCACGATTAGCTTGAGCTTTTCACGACTTGCTGTGTTGTTTTCCATAGCTGTAAACTTCACCCAGCAAGTAGTCCAGAGAACCCTGCTGTTTACGTGATTAGTTACTCCGAGATGAAAGAGAGGTGAATCATTCATGAGCAGCTGAATCTTGCCAGGAAATGATGATTCCCCTGCAAAACCCAGTTCAACTTCTGATTGACTTCTTTACTGCGCAAAAAATAATAATCAAAAATCAAAATCAGATTCAAGTAAGCAGTTCAGATTGTTGAATGTGGTAAAGTAATATGGGATAGTATGAACATGTAGGAGGGAAGGATGCTGCAGATGTAAATTTAGCACCAGTTCAGTCCGCGTTAAATATAACACATTTTCAGGACTATTAAGCTGTATGTGTTGGGCTGCTACTATTTCTTTATCATTTGTTGTTAATGGGTTTACACTGTGTTTTTGTAACCCACCATGGCAGTGTACAACAAATCAAAAACAAAACAGCATAAACACATTAAAATCAGCAGTAAAGGATAATAAAAAAACATTAAACAAGCAACACCGTTAGGGAATTTTAAAGGCCAAATGAAAATATGTGGCTTGGCACCTTTTCTAAAAGCAGAGATAGATGCAGTGGTTCTCAAACCTTTATCTCTGGGCCACACTTTCAGAATAAAAATTTGCTCGTGCCACACTGATTTTTTTTATTGATAACAAATACATTGGTGGGAAAAAGAAGCAACTCCCGGCAGTGCTTGATTTATAACATTGAACACAATTCCTTAATAATAATAATAATAATAATTTTTTATTTATATCCCATCCTCCCCAGCCGAAGCCGGGCTTAGGGCGGCTAACAACATGAGACATCCAGAAAGTATAAAATAATGCAGCTACATAAAAGCAATAATTCCTCCCAAAATTTAATTACAAACAAGCCTCTTGCATTAATTACCTTAAATATGTATACAAACTCAATGAGAGGTGTGAGCTTGCTTTTGCCGGATAATCTCATTTATAGTAGGTCTAATTTGAGACGGACTCTCAACTCCTCATCAACACAGAGAATTATTTCTCTTTTCTAATCTTTCATATTTGTTGAAGTTGAAAATCCCATCAAGAACTGTAGAAGAATAGCCAATGCTATTCTCCAGCACTCTGTTCGAGGGTGATTTTGGATCACAACTAGGATTGTCCTCCGTATCACTTGATGCTATTGCTCTCATTTTGTAAAGATGTCTATCCATATTCTGCAAAATATAAATAAATTATACTATACTATTCTATACTACACTGAAATGTTTAAATCAGGGTTTCCCAACCTTGGGTCTCCAGCTGTTTTTGGACTACAACTCTCATCCATAGCAGGACCAGTGGTCAGGGATGATGGAAATTGTAGTCTCAAAGCATCTGGAGGGCCGAGGTTGAGGAAGCCTGCGGTAAGGTGAGCACATTGAAAATGCACCACTGGAGCCAATCCATTGCCTTTGTGTTTTCACCATGCCACCTTTCCCACCGCCTCTTCTCTCCTAGTAAGCACCTCCACACCATCCACTACCAGCTTTCACTAATCATAGTTAAGATTAAACACAGTTTAGTGTTCAGATGACACGCTAAACTGCTGTTGATCTTAAATGGAAGTGAAATCTTCCAGTCTCCTCATGGCCCTTACAGATGGGAGGGAGGTGTGTTGGGTCTATGGCATGACTCTTGCTCTGTAAATATTTTGTAAAGATATCTATCCATATTCTGCAAAATAAATAAAAAAACCACGTACTATTCTGTACTACACTGAAATGTTTAAATCAGGGTTTCCCAACCTTGGGTCTCCAGCTGTTTTTGGACTACAACTCCCATCCCTAGCAGGACCAGTGGTCAGGGATGATGGGAATTGTAGTCCAGAAACAGCTGATTTAAATGTTTATTTGATTGTCCTTGAATCTTCCCGCCACAATTGCCATTCTCCCTTGCCACACCAATGTGGCACGCCACACCCTTTGAGAACCACTGCGCTATTTCACAGTTGGAGTGACAGGAGAGAACAGCCCTCTGCAGGTGGTGGCATCCTCAAAAGAGCCTCTTCTGTAGATCTTAGTAACTGGACAGGTTGCATCATATTTCTAAGGCAACCCAAGCCTTTGACCTATCACCCTCTAGCTCCTCAATGTCTTCTAGAAACCAAGTCACAGATTCCTTGTAGTAACATCATGCATTTTCCGTGATTGTAGTCTTTTGACTAATTTCAAAGTTATTTTAAGCTACGAATTCAGGGCTTAATTACGGCAAGGAGACCTACAGATGTTTCAGAAAAATAAGTAATTGTAGGGTTCAGTGTTCCAAATCACAATGCACAAACAGGTTTTTAGCATATAATTTATTTTTAAGCTTTAACAAAGAGGGAAAAGAAGAAAAATTATAGACTTGAGGTCATGGAGCACACAGCCTTAGAATTACCCATTTCTCCCTGCCAAGAACTTGAGGCTGGCATTGAGCAAGAACCTGTTTGTGCACTACCGCTGTAAAAGCTGCTTAAGCTGACACATTTACTGCACATTTAATGTCACATGTTCACAAACACATATCAGTGCAAACAGTAAAAGGAAGGTTGGGGAAAATCTTCAGTCTACACAAGTGTGTGGAGCAGTAGCCTGATAACCACCTCCCTCATCTTTAAACTGGGAACAGGGGCATACTTAGGGGTTCGTCAAGCTGGCCCCCAGCAAGAGTGCAGGCCCGGGGTGAGTGAGCAAAAATTGCACCTCTGCTTGGCACCTCTGGGCCAGTCAGTTACAAGGCCTTCCTGTGGTGGTGGAGGGCGTGTGTGAGTGTGCACATGGGTGCAAGTAGACGGCCAGGCTCTTCACCAGTCCAGGTGGCTGTAGCCGCAGAAGGCAGGCACTGGCCAGGGCATGTGAGTCCACTCTCCCTCTCCTTCCAGGCTTGGTTAGATGCCATGGCTGTAGTAGCCAAGTGTCATGGACTGGCTAGATGCAGAGGGATGGTGGGAGGCACCAGCTGGGGAACCCCCCAGGAGAAGAAGGCTCAGAGCCAGGAGACTGATGGTGGGATGACGATGAGTGGTCAGAGGCAGACATGGGTGTAGCCAGGATTTTTGTTAGGCGGGGGCAGCCAAAGCTGTTGAGCCGCCGTCCTGCACTGATGTGACGTGAAGTAGGTGCTGATTTCCTACAAGATCTCATCAGAGTCTTGCAAGGTGTCAAGGAGAGCAAAATTATCTCATGAGATGATGATGATGATGATGATAATAATAATAATTTTTTATTTATATTCTGGTTCCCTGTAACCTCACTTCTCGCAATGATGGAACTGCCAGAAGGCACTTGGCGCTGGATCTCAGTGTCTGGGCTGAATGATGGGGGTGGAGATGCTCCTTCAGGTATACAGGACCGAGGCCGTTTAGGGCTTTAAAGGTCAGCACCAACACTTGTGAGTGAGATCTTTCAAGCGCTTTCAGGGATCCTGAACTTAGAGCTGTCAGTTCTCTGAAAGAAGGCCAGCAAGGACCCACAGCCCAGGTGGGGCCCGCTATCTCGGGGAGGAGGTGTGTGATTCCTCAGGTGGAGTAGGCTCAGGACGGGGGGGGTGTGTCACATGCCTCGTCAAACCCAGAAGGTATAAAAGGAAAGCCGTCGTGTCCTGGCCCCAGCCTGCCAGGCCAGCAGCTGGGCTGTGGGTTGCTGAGCTGTTTGCATGGGGTCGCTGACAGGCTTGGCCCACCTGTCTGTCAGCTGCAGCCAACAGTGGTGGGCAAGATGCCCAGGCAGTAGCTGCCTTTGCCCAAGGGCTGGGAGGAACCTAGCGAGTACAGTGGCAAAGTCTACATCGACCACGCCACCAAAACCACCAGCTGGGTTGGCCCGCAGGACAGGTGAGAAAGGACGGCCAGGAGGAGAAGCGAGGCGGCTGAACTCCCCTGGGCCAGGAGACTTGGGGCGAAGCGTGTGGCTTCAGATGGCTCCATCTTGCCCCTCTTCCAGTTACGCTCAGTGGCACGCAAAGACAGGGAGCAGGGACGTGGTTGTGAGAGAGTGAGAAGAAGAGGAATCTGATGGACAGTGAGGGACGTGAGAACTGGGGCAGCAAGTGTGAATTTGGGCCAGGGCTCAACTGTTTTCAGTGTCTGGTCTGAGCTCTGGGAGATGCAAAACTGTAGTAGAGCCTCTGGGCATGCGCAGAGTTCCTTTCCCTTGACCCTTAAGCAGCCGTAGATTTTGTGCATACACAGTGGGGAGCGTTGGCCCCTGCCCACTGGAGAATAGCATTTTTCCCCTGGGGGAGGCGCAGATACAGCTCCTTGCCAAGGGGGCGCAAGGAACCCTAGGTACGCCTTTGACTGGAAAGGCCGCTTTCAGAGAATCCTTTGCCTGTTACTTCTTTGGTTCGAATCACCTCCTCCTGAGGCAGCTTCTCCTGTTAATGAAGAGCCATCAGGCTACCATTGCATATAACAGATAGTTTGGCCTTAAGCCATTCCAAATTTAAATGTGAGCTAAAATTAGCTAGTATGTGGTGTTCCCGCATACTTTCCTGTTCCCAGTAACTATCCCCTCCTGCCTACCTTCCTAACTGTAGAGAATCGCGAAAGCTGTTTTCTAGCCTTCTAAAATGGCAATGAGAGACACAAACCCATTGATCTAATCATGAATATCTGCCCTCCCTGACTGAGCTAATTGGAAAGTTCTGCTGTAGGGACCGTAGTAGCCGTGTTGCACTGAACTGCTTGAAGGTTGAACTAATGAGTTTAGTGCTCATTTAGAATGTGGCACATGCAATCCATCTAGGAGGAACAACGTTTCCAGTGCTAAATGTAGCACTAAGAGCTCAGTGTGAATACAGATAAAGTGGCGTGCAACGTCTTTTGCAAAGTGAAGGAATGCTTTAAGAACGATTTTTTTGCAAAGAAGATGTACTGCATGATTCATGAGCTCTCTAATGCTGGGTTTTGGGTGGTCATTTATTCCATGGGAGAATATTCAGGACTGTAGACTACTACCCAGATCCTAAATGTTTGTAGTAGTCACATCTCCTTAGAATTCCACTATAGGGTAATTTCATAGTTACTTCATACTTTTGTGCAACAATTAAAAAGTTCTGTCTTTTGAACATCATTAGTGATGCTGCAAGGGTTAGGATTTGCCCATAAGACCGCATACAGGTTCATAGTGGAATTTTGAGAGCAGCCAGATGCAAAAGTTATGTAGAAGAGGGAATTTCAGCAGGTATAACTTGCTTGACAGGGGCACCTGGCCACCCTAGTGACAACGCGCTCAGTTTGCTTGAGGTGCTCGTGCAACAGAGAATTATTGATCTCAAATGTATCAGAAAAGCATTGTCCTTTCAGTACTGCACACAGCTGGAGATACAGTGGTACCTCAGGTTACATACGCTTCAGGTTACATATGCTTCAGGTTACAGACTCCGCTAACCCAGAAATAGTACCTCGGGCTAAGAACTTTGCTTCAGGATGAGAACAGAACTCGTGCTCCGGCGGCGCGGCAGCAGCAGGAGGCCCCATTAACTAAAGTGGTGCTTCAGGTTAAGAGCAGTTTCAGGTTAAAAACAGACCTCCAGAATGAATTAAGTACTTAACCCGAGGAACCACTGTACTGCTTACAAGTGTTGGGCTTCAACTGGTGGATAGTGATCCATGGGTGAATTGCACCATAGAATGGCCGCCATTTATTTTCTATGTTGGCATGTGCTCTGTGTGATTGAGGCAGCCTGGGCCGCATGACGACAACATGCCCTGCATGCATCCCCTGTGGCATGCACACATGATGTTAACACACCCCGCACCGTGTGCACATGCCGCAGGGCATGCTGATGTGCCGTTCGGATTGCCCCCCCCCCATTCAGCACCCCTGTTTGTTGGTTTGGTCTCTTTAAAACAAAAAACAGAAGGCGGGAAGGATCAGGTGCAAAGGATGCCATTCGAACTATTGGTATGTGACAGTGATAAAAAGGTGCACCCAATGCAGCTGTTAAGGGGAACAGCTTGCGGTTCTAATACTTGTACAGTAGAGGTGATTGCATCAGGTACAGATTTCATTAGCCTTGCATGGCAAGCTAAACCTGCTGAAATTCCTTCTTTAGTACAAAGGTGAAGGAGCTCTGCAGAAGATTGACATACACTTGTAAGTAAGCTAAATTCAGTCCCCAGTGCCCAAACTGCAATCAGGGTTGAAGATTAATGATTTAAAAGGCAGTAGGTCCAACTGAGTTCAGTGCAGGTCTGCTTGCTTGTTCTCCCCCTGCCCCCTTCTAGGGTCTGAGGGACAGCTGTGCTGCTTCTGTTTTGCCTCTTCCTCTCTCTGTTGGTTGGTGTGTGCGTGTCTCAGAGTCTGACTTTTTGGGTCCTCTTCCCTATTTATCTCCTGGAGCCACTGTCAACAATTTGTGACTACGTACACAGAGAAATCTGCATTAAATGCTGGCAATTTTTCATTAAAATTGTTATTTAATTGAGAATTAGTGGGCTTAATTTATGATTGGAAAAACGAGAATGAGAGACTTAATTGGCAGATACCTCCATCCTTACACTCGGGTAACTGAATAGCAGGGATGGGCCTTCCAAATGTTGTTGGACTACAGTATCCATCATGGTGTTTTTTTTAAGTGGCATATAATAGTTCCAAAATAAAATAAAGAACCATTGGCAACACTGCCTGGGGCTGATGGGTTTGAAAGTCCGACAACATCTGGAGGGTCCCAGGTTTCCCCACCCTGGTGAGTAGAATTGCAGTCTTAGTAAGATCTAACAACTTAAGTGGGCCTTTAGATGTATTTGAGAAACAAGGTAAAGGATGTTATCATTTTCTGCCATGACCCTGAAATGACAATTTTAAGTTTCTAGCTGTATGGAAGTTACAAACCTAAGGATGTGAAGGAAAATGTAGAATAGGTAATCGGCATAGGTTGTGGTGATTTTTAGATGTGAAAATGTACAAGAATGCCTTCTGAGCTGCTGTGTGGACATCCAGTTCCTTTGGTTCTACAAGATTGCCTTATTTGTAAGATTGGGGAACTCAAACCACCTTGCAATTTGAAAATCCTTCCCATGCTTTTGGAATGGGACAGAAGAAAGTACGTGTAAATCTCCACCCACACTCATCCTGGGTTAATGGAGAGTGCAGAAGAAACCTGCTTTTAAAATGGATTTGAGAACGATCATGCTCTTGATTGTAAAAAAACCCACAACTTTTATTAAAAAACAAACCCCTACTGCGAATCAATGGTTTTGAGTGCCTTTCAGGGACTTTGGATCTATTCTATAAACAGGGAGCTGTATAGTCTTCAAGTAAATAACTCACAAATGGTTCTATTGAACTGAGTTAGCCTGCTTTGGGTCTTGTGACTTGAAGACGGCAGTTTTACGAGAGCTCATCTTGAAGATGGTAGCAGTGGGTGATCCGAGAATACAATTGCTAGGGGGGAAACTAATGGACCATGTAGTGTTATACTAGAACTAGCAGGTAAATGGGGTCTTTACTGCTTCATTTGTTAGAGCTGAAAGAGTTTCTTAAGGATTAGATTTGTTGGGGGAATTGAGCCGTTTGTTTTCAATGGGAATCCAAAATTGCTCTTTCAAGAGCAGTAAGCATCTGTTTTGTCAATATTTGGGGCCGTAAGAGTGAAACTTATGTACCTCACTTGAAAATGCAGGGTTCACAATCACCATTTACTCTTACGCCATGTAGTTTCTATGCTAATGGTTTTCAAACTTGCTGTCCTCAGGGAGCCCTTTGCACAAGAACATTTCTGCCTCAGAACTTTTTGTCTCTGTAGGTGATTCTGGGGAATGTCACAGAATGCACACAAAGGCTACTTTCAAGAGCTGTTTAACTCCATTTTAGTTAACGGTGTCTGTGGCAGGAGGGTTATTTGTCCAGTTCCTAGCACACTTCGCAGTGAAGGTTGTCAGTCAGCCGTTATCTTACTAAGTCAGAACAATAAAACCACGTCTTGTCAGGTAACCAATACAGTGGTACCTCAGGTTAAGTACTTAATTCGTTCCGGAGGTCTGTACTTAACCTGAAACTGTTCTTAACCTGAAGCACCACTTTAGCTAATGGGGCCTCCTGTTGCCGGCGCGCCGCCGGAGCACGATTTCTGTTCTCATCCTGAAGCAAAGTTCTTAACCTGAAGCACTATGTCTGGGTTAGCGGAGTCTGTAACCTGAAGCATATGTAACCTGAAGCGTATGTAACCTGAGGTACCACTGTACTTGGGATCTGAAAAACCCGGAAACTTCCAAGTTTTGTCCTGGCTCCGCTCCCAGATTGCCAAGTTCTTTACAAACCCTTCCTGTCCTGGTGGTGGCTCCTGTACCCTTCAAAGAGACCGTATTTTTTAAAAAATAAGAAGTTGGCAAATTAATTTGTAATTTTCAAGCCTGTGTGGTGAAGTGCCTAGAATGCCAGGCATCAGAGACCACAGTTCAAATGCCCAATGGGCTTGAAACTCACTGACCTTGGGCCAGTCATCAACAGTCAACCTGATCCTAGAATTGTAGAGTTGGAAGGGACCTGAGAGTCATCTAGTCCAACCCCCTGCAATGCAGGAATCTTGGCTAAAGCATCCATGACAGATGGCCATCTGCTGCTTAAAACCCTCTGGAGAGGCCACCACCTCTTGAGACTGCTGAACAGTTCTTACTGTCTACCTCACAAGGTTGTTGCTAAGATAATATTGAGAGTGGGAGAACCGTATATGCTGCCTTGAGCTCCTTAGGAGGAAAGTTGGGATGTTGTTGTTTAGTCATTTAGTCGTGTCTGACTCTTCGTGACCCCATGGACCAGAGCACGCCAGGCACTCCTGTCTTCCGCTGCCTCCTGCAGTTTGGTCACACTCATGCTGGTAGCTTCGAGAACACTGTCCAACTATCTCGTCGTCTGTCGTCCCCTTCTCCTTGTGCCCTCCATCTTTCCCAACATCAGGGTCTTTTCCAGAGAGTCTTCTCTTCTCATGAGGTGGCCAAAGTACTGGAGCCTCAGCTTCAGGATCTGTCCTTCCAGTGAGCACTCAGGGCTGATTTCCTTAAGAATGGATAGATTTGATCTTCTTGCAGTCCATGGGACTCTCAAGAGTCTCCTCCAGCACCATAATTCAAAAGCATCAATTCTTCGGCAATCAGCCTTCTTTATGGACCAGCTCTCACAAAGTTGGGATACAAATGTAATAAATAAGTAACTTCAGTGATTTCGGAAGTTAAAAAAAGAACCTGAATCTGAAATGCCTTTCCTTGTTTTAATTTACCAGTTGGCTTCAGCTAGGGGTGATTAAAGGTTTATGCTTTCTCATTCTTACTCTCACTAAATACTAATTATTCCTTAGACTCTTTGTAGTCATTGCATCCTCTTAAATTAAAATAGTTTAGACAGATGTAGTGGACGAGAAAGGTAATTAGAAGAGGATGCGGGGAGAGGGGAGATGGCGTCCCAGGTTCTGGAAGCAAATATAAGAAATCTTGTGCTTTGCCTTTTTTCCTCTCCGAGGGCAGGACTGCTGCTGAAGAGAAGGTGCGTGCCAGAACTCGTTATTTCTATGCTTCCTAATTGCAGAGAGAGAGAGAGAAATAGCCAAAACAAGATGACAGTATACCAACTAATTGATTATTAAAGAATTATCTTTTTAATATAAAAGCCTTCCCTAACAAAAGCTTGACACTGTGGAACTCAGGCCTGAGGAAAGATCATTAAAAGGATAAAAGAGAATCTGCTTTTCTGCTTCAGAATATATTGACAAGATTGTCTGGCGGGCATGCTATTCATTTGATAGGATTATCTGTAATAGGATTATGAACCATGAGATCTAGCTGTGAATTTATCCTGGAAAAAGAAGAACAAGAAGTGTTTCCTTTCCTGAAAAAGATGATCTGCTGAAATTATGCTTTTCAGCCAAATACGCCAAGGGAATGGTCACACAAACCTTTCACTTGTTTATTTTTCGTTCACACTCCTACATAGGTTTGCATTCATGAGCACCAGCTTCAAAAGAAGTGGGAAACTCTAACTGTTGCTTGAAATATTGATCATGCACAATGAAATTAGGTGCAGAGATGGGCATTTCCTGTCTTTGTAAGGCAACAAGTCCATTGCAATGCAACACCCACTTTTGTCTCATAAGGATTTCCTGCAAGATGAAGAAGGGTTGTTGGTTGTCATCCGTCTGCCTCGGGAGACAATGGAAGAATGCACTTTTTGGGAAGAAAGATATGTACATGCCTTGTATCTCCCCCGCTTGGACCAGCTGCCTAGCTGATACTTTGGGGTGGCGCACAGAAAGTTGTAATCTGAACTCACTGTTCCTGTTGGAAGAGCTTTGAGAAGGTACCTATGGACCTTTCTGCTCTCCTTGCATGAACTTAGATCATCTCCTTCCAGGAGCAGAGGACATCTCTTCACACTGCTCCACAAGTTCCAGCCATCTGCTGGAGAGAGATTGTGGGTAAAGGGAGCATAGCCGGCTGCATCCTGTTTTGTTCATTGCACATACCATCATACCACAATAGTCCTCTAGATTTTGTAGTATAATTTCCTGATTGGATCACCTCCAGCTAGCATTACCCAATATTTTTTCTGCTGTAAGCTCTGTGCAGAATTGTGATTGATTTTTCCACACTTCATGGGCAGCGGGTAATAGTGATTTGTTTACGTTTACATCCCATGATGTTCGGTCTACATTGGTGGGCATATCATAGCTGTGTAGGTGGGAAAGGGATACCATTTTAAAATAAGGTTTTATTATAAGCTATTGTAAGTTTAAGTTAAGTCTGCTGCAACTGGATTTCTTATGGACAGTGCCAATCCTGAATGTGTTGAATTTGTAACCATTATGCTCATTTGCCTTCAGTAAAGCTCTGCTGGATGCAATATTAATTGCCTCTGGTCTATTTTTTAGGAATCCTGCAGCGTGTTTTAAGATTTTACTCTGCTAACTATACACTGGAGTTCTCCTCTGGTTCCATATTGAGTAGACTTCCATGACATGTCCTGCCATACACCCCATTCAAGCCACCTCTCGCAAAAACTGTTGTATGATTCAGTGTGGGAAGCTTGGAAAGTTTGTTACTCGCTAGACCAGTGGTGTCCAAACTTTTTTCAAAGAGGGCCAGATTTGATGAAGTGAAGGGCCATGAGTGCCGACCAAAGTGGATGACCTTTTTTTAGGATTGAAGTTTTTGACATTTTTTATGAATTTACCCCAAAGTTGTTTTAGGATTGAGGTGGTTGAGCTTTTTTTAGGGTTGAAGTTTTTAAAAGGATTTTACCCCAGGAAATAAACTGCCACAGGGGCCGGATTAAGCCGACTGTCGGGTCGGATTAGGCCCCCGAAACGAACTTTGGACATTCCTGCACTAGACCATGCTTGACTATCGCGTGCAAAGCTTTTGGAAAGTCCCATTAAACTGCTGAACATTTCCCTGTGTGACTTGGCACAGTTGCTTAAGAGAACAGCCAGCTTTGCTGCAGAGCATAGGCTGCAATCTTAAAACACATTTACCAGGGAGTAAGCCTCGTTGAAAATTGAGTGAACGTGCATAGGTTTGCCTTTGTAGTGCTTTTTTTTTTTTTTAATGACACCCTAGCTGTATAGGATCTTAGGCTATGTCGATGATAAATTCTGTAAGCAGGGACTCGCTATCATGCACATAATTACACTCTCTTGCAATTTCCCAGCAGTTTCCCCAGCTAAGCAATCACTCCTGCTGTGCAGTTCTTTTTGAAAGCTCTTTGTATTGGATTAAGGCCTTTAGTAGCCTTTTAGAAAATTGCTTTGATTCTGCCTGGCATCGTGGAAGGTCAATAGTCTCTTGATAAGACTATATCCCCCTTGGGGAATGGGGTAGCGGGTTTTTTTGTGTTAAATGTTCTCTTCAGGGAGAAGTCACCATCCTGCTGTTAGGTCCCTGGTAGAAGTGCCTTCTAAAAACCAAGGATGTCTTTATTTATTAATTAGGGATTAACTGCCAAATAGAAGCTTGTTGTGTTATATGGAGATAAACCGAATTATTTTAAAGCCATTACAAGAGTGCCTAATGAGGTAAATAAGGCTAACTGCCCAGAATTATAATGAAGTGGCCTGAGAGCCAGGATAATAAAGAACACGTGTCTGTGATATAGTTGAAAAGGGGAATGCTTTTAATCTTGCCAAGAATACAATTTTTAGAATGCGGGTTTTTTGGTTTTTTAAGGTTTCACTTGCTACTAATCGATGCACCTCTATAGTTCTGACATTCTCCATGCATTCATTTTGGGAAGATTTCGATGGGACAGAGATTCTTGGCGTTCTTGCTGTAGTATTTAGAAGGCCAAATGCTGAACAGAAATACTTAAAGCAATGGTGTCTCCCCTGCTTCCCTCACCTGATTCAGTCAGTGTTTTAATCCAAATTACGAGCAAATACACCATTGCAATTTGCTGACGAGACAGGGCTCAGCACAGAAGCAACCTAGGCACATGAGTCAAGGATTGGGAACCCCTAGAGCTCTAGATGATGTCAGATTCCAACTCCCATCAACCCCAACCAGCGTGGACCAGTGGTCATGGATAGTGGGAATTCTTGGAGGCCACAGATTCCTTGTGTGTGAAATGTGAGTGGGGCAGGGTAGGAGGAAGAAGAACCCTTGTCTTCTCTCTCGTTTTCATTCACTGGCCTGAAAGCAAAACAGAAACTCCAGCGGGACTTCTTATTTTTTGGAGGGGTCTGTATGGAATTCCTACTTGAACGACATCCCTTTCATATACGTTTTGCTCCTTTTTGCTAGCGTCCCAACAAAATCCATGAGTTAATGTTTACACAGAAGATTGGCTTACATACCGGTAATCTTGTCCAAAGGTTAATTGGACTGCAGGTTTCGCCATGATTTTCCATGCAGCCTTTTTTGTACTTATTAACTGGTCTTGTATTTGAAGGCTTTTGAACACTTGACGAGTAAGTAACTTAAGTGTTGATTTTACGATCCACTGAAGATTTGAATGCAAGAACTGAATTGATTTTATTTCCTTTCTCTCTCCCCGCCCCAGCAGTCCAGTGTGTGGCCTTCATTTCCCTGCGCTACAATTACACACTACTAAATCTACCATGAAGTTCAGCCAGGAAGACTTTGAAAAGGCCAGAGAGCAGCTGAAGCTTTTGAAGACGGATCCTGGCAACCAAGTCAAACTGAATATTTATGCATTGTTTAAACAGGTAGCTCTGTCCATTTTCAGTCTGTAAAATGAAAATAGCTGCATTGGAGAAATGTTTGTTGGAACAGTTTGGCTAAGCCAGTCTGCAGTTTCAACCAAAGGGTTGCTTAAAAATGCACAGTCCATTGCACAAAGTGTGCTTTTCTTTTAAAAACTGCTAGTTTATCAAGCTGAAGCAAGCTTTTCCTAGTTGCTCTCTTGAATTTCTCTTAAACCCCGTTTGCACCTCTGGACTCTACAAGCATATGTAACAAGAGAACTCATTCATTTGGTGCTGCTTCCTCGCACAGGAAAAGTCCCACAGATGTTGGAAATGATAGTATATTAATGTGTTAGTTGTATATATTTAGTTATGGGGAAGGAGTCTCTGGAATCCTTACTATGAACCCCTGTTGACATCTTTGGATCTGGTCCTTCTCTGCTTACCTCATGTTATGAGGCAGAGTAATTCAACAGCCAGGGAGAGAGGCCTTTCTTGCACTTTCCCTATGAACTCCCTGTGGAAGTCACAACTATCTCCATTTTGGCCTTCCAAAGGACTGCGAGACCTGCATATATTTCAGTTGACTTTTAAGAGGCTTTGATGAGGCTGTGCTCTGAACTGCATGGAAGAACAGAGAAATCTTATTGCAGTAGTGGGTGTATCAAGTGGAATTGAGACTCCAAACATTTGTTGCGTGCCTTTTGTTGATTTCATCAGAATGTTTAGTATAGGGTGTATTTGATTTAAATCAAATTGATTTAAATCACCAGTCAGTAAGACTTGATTTAAATCTTTCTTTCTTTTTACAGAAAGACTCATTCTTGCTGGTATAATCTTAATATTTAAAACTGAAGGTTTCATTTTTGGAATAATAAATTTTCAGAGTAGTTTTTGCAGTTATATCAATAATTACTGATTTGGTTATACTATTAGAAATACATTGACAGATAATTATGAAATTATAGTGAGGTTTAATCAGTTAACTGTTTATATTTGGACAGCTTTTCTGCTGTACTTTATTGGACGGAAAAATAATCATTAGTAACAATTTAAACAATTTGTTTAACTAAAACAATAACATTATAGCACATGTATGCATGTTTGTTATCTAGTGTGGTTAAACCATTAAAAAAAACCCAAAACTTAGACTGAGTTTTAGCACACATGAGAAACTTAAAACAAATCCTTATTTCCTGATTAATAGCCTTTGGACTATAATGTAACTATAAGAGGAAACTATCTTTAGAAACATTTTTCCTCCAAAAGCATTTTATTTTAAAAATCCAATGTAAGTCCAAAAAATCCATTTAAATAAAAAAAATGATTTTTTAAATAAAAATAATGATTGATTTTTATCCACCCTGGACATCTTAAAATGCAGACTGCTTTTCATAATAATTTTGAAACTTACTTGCTATGCAAGTATTTATTAGCAGAGTATATAACGACCACATTTGCGTGTAGCACTACACTGTGTGGGCCTGTCCGAGCCCAAATGAAGCATCGAGTTCACATGCTCCCTCTCCCTTCTCCTTCTCCTGCATGGCCAAGAGAAGGACATCAGGAGAGCTCAGTTTCACTTAAAAATAATCCCTTGCTTAACATTAGATTCAAACCAGGGAGCCACAAACTCTGGTAAGTTTCATAACAAGCCAGCTTCAAACCACGGGTTATGAAGCTGGCCTGTGAAACATATCAAAAATTGTTTTGAACCAGGATCCCCTGGTTGGTTTGCAACAGTAAGTTGAGATTTATTAAAAAAAATAAAATGAAACTGCTGGAATCATTGGCCTGGCTGCATGGGAGTAAGGGAGCACATCAGTCCAACATTTTGCTTATGCTCAGTCTGGCTAGATTTAGCATTATGAGTGAGCCAACCCATTGAATCCATGTGGGTGATTCTATTCTTTTTTATTGGCTAATCAGTGTAAACTTACTCAAATGGTTAGATTTTTCTTTCTTTCTTATTCACATAGGCTACTGAGGGCCCCTGCAAAGCTCCCAAACCAGGAATGCTAGACTTTGTCAAAAAGGCCAAATGGGATGCATGGCAATCACTTGGCAATTTGCCACAGGTGAGTAGTATGCTACGAAGGGCAAATTTATTTTATTCGGCCTTTGTTTTATTTGTAAACCATCTTTCAAAAATAAAAGTTCTTCCCAGGGCAGTTCACATAATATATATCAAATAGGGTCGTGCACTGTCCACCCACGTCCCCTACTCCAGGGAACATCCCAGGCAGAATCAGTTTTGGGTGGGGCTAATGTTTTATTAGGGATTTTCGTGGGAGAAGAATGAAATCCTGTGTCTCCTTCCTACCTCCCTCTCATCTGAAAGCAGGAGGGCTCAATCCTGTGGGGTGCTGCTTCTTGCCTGCACCTTCCCTGTGGAGAGCATGCTGGTGAAGCCTCTCTAGGCTTCCAAGGTAGCCGCCTAAAGGCGACTGAACGCACCTTGAACGGCACCTTGTTTTAGAGGGGGAGAACAAGAAAAAAAATTCTCCCCCTCTCTGCGCAGCGCCTCCTGCTGCTTCGCTGAAGGGGCGCTGGGCAGAGAGGGGGAGATTTTTTTTTTCTTGTTCTCCCCCTCTAAAACAAGGTGTGTCCTATGGTCGGGTGCGTCCTATAGAGCGAAAAATCCGGTAATTATTATTTGCTGATGTTTTGAGAGTTAGTTTTATTATATTCTAATAGATTTTTGAATGTTTAACTTGATATAAGTTGTTATATTTTAAAGTTATGTTTTATTATGACTTTCTGTATTATTATAAGGTGCGTGTTCCTCATTGTATATTTTGTTGCTTGTAGACTGCCTTGTGTTTAGCAATAAAGAAAGGCGGTACAAAAAATAAAAGTGAAATGAAACTAAGTATCTCATTAAAAAAATACTTTGAAGCTAGAATCCTTTACCTTGGTGCTATTTGCACTGTATTCACGATTTTGTATCTGGACCCTAGCTATATGTAATCTGTCACCTGTTTTATTATACTTGGAGAGGGCTTCTCGTTCCAGGACAGCGCAAGACAGAAATACATTGAACTTGTATCCAGTTTGGTGGCTGCAGAATCTTCTCAGGTTGAAGCGACTCCTCCTGGCAGCAAGGCTGCCTATGAAACACTAGAGGTTTCTACTAAAGACAACATCACAAAGATTGTGTTAAACCGCCCCAAGGTGAAAAATGCTATCAGTAAAAAGGTAAGCTGGTTCATCGTACAGGTCACAAATCATTGGCTAACAAAGAAAGTGAGATGGAAATTTAAAAAAAGAGAAAGATGCAGCAGAACTTTTAAGAACTGAAAAGTAGAGGACAGATTACCTTCCCTTGTACTACCTGTTGCACTATCAATTTTATGTTTTCTTCCCTCCACGTTTTGCTCTCACTTTTTTCTTTCTGGGTGCTCTCTGTAATCTTTCATATATATGTGTGTGTGTGTGTGTGTGTGTGTGTGTGTGTGTATATAATTACTTTATAATTATATATAAAAAATAATTATTACTTTATACTTAGAACATGTTAAAGCAGTATATAAGAATTTAAAACCTCAGAATACAATGAAACAATGTACAAATTGACTTTTGCAGTTTGTATACGTTAATAATGTGCAATCGTCTTGAGAAGGCTTCTCTAAAATAAAGGGTCTTCAGTAAGCCTCAAAATTAATGTCCATGGGAAGGGCAGTAGCTGGAATATGGGAGGTAGGGATGGGGGAGAAATTCATTTTTGGCACATTAGAGGCAAACCTCCCTAATTTCTAAAATGATACAAGAATGGAAACACAGCCATCCTCTGAATTTTGCAATGTAGTTTGCCCACCAAGTAATGTGTACAAAAATTAGGGTATACTAGGGTAATATAAATGGAACGCGGGTGGTGCTGTGGGTTAAACCACAGAGCCTAGGATTTGCCGATCAGAAGCTCGGCGGTTCGAATCCCCGCGACAGAGTAAGCTCCCGTTGCTCGGTCCCTGCTCCTACCAACCTAGCAGTTCGAAAGCACATCAGAGTGCAAGTAGATTAATAGGTATCGCTCCGGTGGGAAGGTAAACGGCATTTCTGTGCACTGCTCTGGTTCGCCAGAAGCGGCTTAGTCATGCTGGCCACATGACCCAGAAACTGTACGCCGGCTCCCTCAGCCAATAAAGCGAGATGAGTGCTGCAACCCCAGAGTCGGCCACGACTGGACCTAATGGTCAGGGGTCCCTTTACCTTTACGTTTAGGGTAAAATAAACTGTGTGTTTGCTCACCTCTATACAAATCACTGGCTGATGGTGGTAGGGAAATGCATTTAAAACATTTGGATGGCTTCTCTGCTCATCCACACACTCACATCTCTTGGTCCTTCCTTTCATATAAGCAAAATGTTAAGCATGTATATATTTGCAGGATTAAAACAAAAAAGAGCACAATCCAGTGGGCTGCCTGCTTAGGGGCTTCACATTCTTATTAGTTATAAATACTCTGCATGCCCAGGGCAATTCTTTTTGCAAGAGGAGAGAAAAAAAGGAGTTCCTGTATTGTCCAGGCTCTGGATTCAGCCGAGACTATGCAGATGTAGTAGAATCTTAGGCAACCTTCCCAAACCCGGTGCTCCACCCAAATGTTTTTAACTGCAGTTTCCATTCCTGACCATTGGGCATGCTTGCTGGAGCTGATGGGAACTGGAGCCTAAATCATCTTGAGAAAGGCTGGTCTTAGATCCAGCTAGCTACCCCCAAATTTCTCGAACTTCCTGTAACATTAAATGGTACTTGTTCTTCCTTTCTCATTCTGTGCAGATGTACGATGAAATTATTGAAGCACTTGAGGAAGCAGCAAAAGATGACTCTGTAATTACGGTTTTCACAGGTACTACCCTTTGCTGTATTCTCTATCAAGTTTGTTTTTCTTTCAAAATCCCAGTATGCAAATAATAATAATAATAATAATAATAATAAACAATTTATTTATACCCCACCCATCTGACTGGGTTTCCCCAGCCACTCTGGGTGGCTCCCAACACGATAAAACATCAAACATAAAAAAATTCCCTAAACAGGGCTGCCTTCAGAATTCTTCTAAAAGTCAGATAGCTGTTTATTTCCTTGACATCTGATGTGAGGGCGTTCCACAGGGCGGGCGCCACTACAAAGCTCTCTGCCTGGTCCTTTTCCTTGTGCGCTGTGCCTACAGAGAACACCATGGAACTGGTGCAAATCTGAAGGTGACAAAGTGTCCCAGAAGGAATGAGACGAAGCAGTGAATCCCCAGTAGCAGGAAGGACAAGCAAGTGGTGCAGGTCCCCTTGCCCAACTCATCCAAATGTATATGGCAACACACACACACACCAGTTTCTATCCTCCCAAATCGTGTCTTCTCATGACCTTTTCAATGTATTAATGTATGAGATGGGAGATATGGTTTTCATATGGCTTAATTGAAGTGTGCGTGCTCCCGGAGAGGAAATCCTGGTGAATTTTCTCCTCCTTGATGGCTGTTGAGTTGAGTTGTGTTGAGCTAAGCCTTGGTTTCGCTTCATGTGTCCTCGGAACCCAGTCTCAAGATTAGCTCCTCCAGACAAACGCTGAGCTGCAGCCTGGATAGCTCAGTTGGTTAGAGCGTGGCGCTGATAACAGCAAGGTTGCAGGTTCAATCCCCGTTTGGGACAGCTGCATAGCCCTGTATTGCAGGGGTTTGGACTAGATGATCCTCAGGGTCCCTTCCAACTCTTCGAGGCTATGATTCTTTGAAACGATAGGGCTAAACTTGGTTGCAGGTTGTGGTTAGTCTGGAGAGAGTTTGGGGCTCAGCGAGACTCTGCAGCAAAACCGCCAAGGGGAAGCAAAGCAGCCGGGTTCTCCTCTCTAGTAGCCCACACACTTGCACTGTCATCATTTGATTTTTCTTTCTTCTGTACCTGTATAAAACCACATTTGCTCTACAGACGATAGCGTTGTCAAGGAGGGAATCCTAAAAACACCCAGCTCTGATCCAGCAGAAGGGGAGTGAGGTGATTACCACCAATTTCCCCTTCCCCTTACAGGTCTCAGTGTCCCCTCCCCAGCTCCCCAGAGCAGTTTTTCTGAAGGGAGGGGAGGGGAATTGGCGAAAATGTGCTCTGCTCCGTTTACCAGCAGAAGCCTCCAATAGATGGGAGCCCCATTATTTCCAGAGACCCTATAATCAAGTAGAAACACTGCAACCGGAAGGTTCTTAATTGGTTAAATACTTGTTAAGCTTTTGAGCCAGTTTGAAGTAACTGAGAGCTCAATTCAGACGAAGATGGAATTTTAATGTTCTATTGACTTTCCTGGAGTAGTTAAACATGCCTTCACTATCTTCCATTTCAAATCAGAGAGGCATAAAAAAATCCTAAATGTTTTATTGTGCCCATAACAAGCTAAATACTTAAATAGAGAATGTTCACTCATAAACATCGTCTGGCTATTTTCCATTTGTGTTTATTTCACCAGCTCAGAAGTCCTGATGTGTGTGCTTGTTTACAGGTAATGGAGATTACTACTGTAGTGGAAATGACCTGAACAACTTTACTAACCTCCCAGCAAATGGATTAGAGGAGATGGCAAAGAATTCTGCAGAAATGCTCAAGTACGACTTGTTTTGCATTGTGTTGAAATGCGTACCAGACATGCAGAATGTGTGGTGGGAGAGGGACAGCACATTTTAACACATTTTGAAAAAAGAGAAAACTGAAATGTGTAGCCTGATCTTGTTTAAAGGTAAAGGGACGCCTGACCATTAGGTCCAGTCGTGGCCGACTCTGGGGTTGCAGCGCTGATCTCGCTGTATTGGCCAAGGGAGCCGGCGTACAGTTTCCGGGTCATGTGACCAGCATGACAAAGCCGCTTCTGGCGAACCAGAGCAGCGCACGGAAACGCCGTTTACCTTCCTGCTGGAGCGGTACCTATTTATCTGCTTGCGCTTGACATGCTTTCAAACTGCTAGGTTGGCAGAAGCAGGGACCAAGCAACGGGAGTTCACCCCGTTGCTGGGATTCAAACCGCCGACCTTCTGATCGGCAAGTCCTAGGCTCTGTGGTTTAACCCACAGCACCACCCGCGTCACAGCGCCTCCCGCGTCTTGTTTACTTGGAAGCAAATCCCTCTTGAGTTCAGTGGGGTCGCCCCTAAGTAAGCGTGCAAAGGATTGCACCTTTTGATAAATTCTCGGCATTAGAAGCAGTGGCTTTTTTCACAGGAGCTCAACTGATGTGTGTATTTTGTGTGGAATAGAAATTGTGCAGCCCAAGAAAACGCAAGTTATGGGAGAGTTTGTATCTATTCCCTTTGTAAGTTAACAAGTAGAAGGTTTTTGTCTTACACATTATGAATAACAGTGCAGTTGAGAAGGACCTGATACATCTATGTAAAAACATTTATAAACATACCGACCCTGTATTACTTACCTATGATTATTTCCATATCCAATTTGAAAATTAATGCATGTATAATATATAAATTTAATAAAATACATACATTTTAAGACTAGTTGGCAATTTCAAGTGGAACAACTAAATTAAACAAAGGATCCTATAGAATTCAGCTAAAATCATTGATGGTGTTCTTGAATTTTGTTTCTATAGAGCCTCCCAAATGTTTCATTTTGGGGGAAGCTGGTCACAGAGATTAGCACCATCACAGGTGACAGGGTATAGTGCTGGATCCTAAATTATGCCTTCTTTCTGTATTTGTAGGGGAGACTGAGCAAATTGTGTTGAAGGCTTTTGTTATAACTAGTTGATGAGGGCCCATTTCATTGCTGTGAATGGATGGAAGGATGCTTCCTTAATTAGTTTGCAGGGCTAGTATATGAAAGCTCTGTTTGCTGTCACTTGAGAGAAACACACCCATCCTGTACAGACCTTTAAAAGATCAGACTGACTCTGGAAGGTTTTGACTTGGACTGCCAGCTAAAACCAAGCAGAGCCCCCTACATCAAGAAGTATCTCTTATATGAGGTACTTCCTGTTTGCCCTGTTATCAGGGATTGACTGCAATATCTAGAAGCACCCTGAAAGCAATGTGAACCTCTGGCATTCATTATAGCTGCAGTATTGGAGAATGCAAACCTCCCATTAAAGTATTTAATTGCTCTGGTGCAGTCAGTTTTGAGTTCACAGATGCTAGCTTTGCACTGACCGAGAGGGTACAATACTTCCCACTTCTCTGTCTTCACTATACTGTGGAACCTTTCAAGTTCAAGAGACTGACATTATCTGCTTTCATTTATGTGCCACTTACACACCGCCTTTTCATGGTTTTACAGCCCAATGTGTCTGCTGTACTTTGAAATAATGATGTCAAACAAAGGAAAAAAACCCTGAAGAAATTAACCCTCCTTTCCCAGGGCCCTTTAGAGAGGGTCTGGAAAGTGGGTGCATCATTATCGTGATTCGCTGTGAGGGATCGCAGCATGATGAAAATCAATCATTGGGAGGAGAAGTGGTTTTGCCTTTAGGCTGCAAGTAAACACAGTGGCGCTGTGGGTTAAACCCACAGAGCCTTGGACTTGCTGATCAGAAGGTCAGTGGTTCGAATCCCCGCAACGGGGTGAGCTCCTATTGCCCGGACCCTGCTCCTGCCAACCTAGCAGTTTGAAAGCACGTCAAAGTGCAAGTAGATAAATAGGTATCGCTCTGGCGGGAAGGTAAACGGCGTTTCTGTGCACTGCTCTGGTTCGCCACATGCTGGCCACATGACCGGGAAGCTGTACGCAGGCTCCCTCAGCCAATAAAGCGAGATGAGCGCCGCAACCCCAGAGTCGGCCACGACTGGACCTAATGGTCAGGGGTCGCTTTACCTTTACCTAAAACACAAAATGGCTGAGATGTATTGTTGGGCAATAGCTGACATGTGTGTTGTGATGTGGGGAAATTGCTGACACTGTGTGGAAGACTGTTCCACTATCTACAGTCATTCTATTCTGTTCCTTTTTCTTTCCAGAGACTTTGTCGACCATTTCATTGATTTTCCTAAGCCATTAATCGCTGTGGTGAATGGGCCAGCTGTGGGTATTGCCGTAACTCTCCTTGGGCTGTTTGACGTGGTGTATGCTACTGACAGGGTAAGTTTTCTGCATGAATGTCTGACCCCCCCACTCCCAATCCAGTATTGGGCTCTCATAGAAATTGAAGTTATTTAGAGTAAAAAAATCTTTATTCAGTTTGTGCACTGAGTTTCCTTTCAAATGGAGACTTGAGACAGCTGACAGCATCATAAAATGTATGATTCAGTATAAAAAAGGGAAATACAAAGTGTCTTTCCCCTTTACATCAGTAAAAAGATGTGTTGGCTCAGCTTTCCTGCCTGTTGGTACAAGCTGTGACCATTTAGAAATACTGCCTGAAAGAGGCTTCCGGAACTTGCTGCCCTCCCTGAGTTCATCTGAACGTCTAGCTAAGATGGCTCTGAGCTGGCATCTTGCTTTTCCTATGCTCCTTTTGGCCTGCAAGAACAGCCAACTTTGCACAGCCTTCTCCCAGCTGGACTGCAAGTTGGAATTTGGCAGAGAGAGCAAAGCTTCCCTGGTTCTCTTTGCCCTTATTTCCTCCTGGCATCTCAGTTTCAGATGGGACATGAGCTGTGGGTAGAAAATGTGGTGTGCAGTGTTTTCCTACGTTGGTCCAATTAGAAATGCAGAATTATAGTGCCTCTGCACTGATCTACTCTCTGTCTAGTTATCTCCTGCTTGGTCTACTGCAATGCATTCTACGTGGGGCTACCTTTGAAAGTGACCTGGAAACTACGATTAATCCAGAATGCGGCAGCTAGACTGGTGACTGGGAGCGGCCGCTGAGACCATATAACACCGGTCCTGAAAGACCTACATTGGCTCCCAGTATGTTTCCGAGCACAATTCAAAGTGTTGGTGCTGACCTTGAAAGCCCTAAACGGACTCGGCCCAAGTATACCTGAAGAAGCGTCTCCACCCCCATCATTCTGCCCAGACACTGAGGTCCAGCACCGAGGGCCTTCTGGCGGTTCCCTCACTGCAAGAAGTGAGGTTACAGGGAACCAGGCAGAGGGCCTTCTCGGTAGTGGCACCCGCCCTGTGGAAGGCCTCCCATCAGATGTCAAGGAAATAAACAACTATCTGACTTTTGGAAGACATATGATGGCAGCCCTGTTTAAGGAAAGTTCTTAATGTTTGATGTTTTATCGTGTTTTTAATATTCTGCTGGGAGTGGCTGGGGAAACCCAGCCAGATGGTTAGGGTGTGTGTATTATTATTATTATCATCATCATCATCATCATCATCATCTCCCTCTCTCATTCTTTTCTCTGTTCCATTACGTTTGAGAGCATACAATGCTTTCTGTACAAGTAAGGATTTGTAAACATCATTACTGTGGATGATTCAGATCCAAAACATGTATTGTCCCTGACTGTGTCTGTCCCCTGTCATTTATACAAAGAACTGTGAACTTCAGCATGTCAAGCACATGTCCAAAGCCACTTGTGGTCTCGTTCTGGATGACAGCTGTAATTGGGTCACTGATAAATTGTCTCAAGTCAAAGGCAGGCTTCATTGTTCCTTCTGCATAGCACGCAAACCATGGGAAGCTTGACTTTTGTAGCTAGGGCTGCACATATTATTATCTAACCATGTATAGAAACCCTCATGCAATTTAAAAGGGATATTGACAAGCTGAAATGTGTGCAGAGGAGGGCAGCCAAGATGACCAAGGGCCTGGAAGCCAAAGCTTGATGAGGGAGTTGAGTATGTTTAGCCTGGAAAATAGGAGGCTGAGAGGAGATATGATAGCCATCATCAAATATCTCAAGGGCTGTCACATGGAAGAGGGGGCAAGCTTGCTTTCTCCTGCTCTGGAGGCTAAGACCTGAACCAATGGCTTCAAGTTACAAGAAAGGAGATTCCGACTAAACATCAACAAGAACTTTCTACAGTAAGAACTGTTTGACAGCGGAATGGACTCCCATAGGAGGTTGTGGACTCTCTTTCCTTGGAGATGTTTAAGCAGAGGGTGCATGGCAATTTGTCATGGATGCTTTACTTGAAATTCCTGCATTGCTGGGGATTGGACCCCTTCCAACTCTGCAATTCTGTTATTCAAATTCAGGATTTAAAAGGACAGCTAGATATTGTATGCTATTTGAAAGTGACAGCATTCTAAAGCAAGAGTCTTTTTCCTTCACAGGCGACATTTCACACCCCCTTTAGCAAGCTGGGCCAGAGTCCGGAAGGATGTTCCTCATACACGTTTCCAAAAATTATGGGTGCATCCAAGGTAAGAGAGATACATTTTTGTCTTTTTGAGGGTTGTTTTGAGAGAAGTGCCTTTTGCGCTTCGCTCAGGTAGCCAATGAGCCCTATTCAAGGAGTTAAACAACTTGTGCGGGGGCTGAAAAGCCACACACGCTGTTGCCACCAGCCTCATCTCTGGGGCTGAGCACACTTGCGAGCCTCCTGCACCCCTTCCCACTGAACACACAAAGGTTAGGAATAGAGGTGACCGGAGGACAAGACCTGCCAAGGAAAACAAAGAACTTATGTATGCTACAACAGCGGCAAGAGTCTTGATATCACAAGGATGGAAGAATGAGGAAACCCCGACAAAAGAACAGTGGCAAGAGAAATTGTTGAACTACAATGGTACTTCAGGTTAAGTACTTAATTCGTTCCGGAGGTCCGTACTTAACCTGAAACTGTTCTTAACCTGAAGCACCACTTTAGTTAATGGGGCCTCCTGCTGCTGCTGCGCCACTGGAGCACGATTTCCATTCTCATCCTGAAGCAAAGTTCTTAACCTGAGGTACTGTTTCTGGGTTAGCTGAGTCTGTAACCTGAAGCGTATGTAACCCGAGGTACCACTGTATGCAGAACTGGCAAAACTGACATGCAAATTGTGAGATAAGGACAACTGTGACTTTAAAGAAGAATGGGAACTTTTTACAAATTATTTAAAAAGACAACAAAATGAACTGGACTCCTGGACAGGTTTTGAATAAACATACACAAATTTATTGAGGGTTAATATAGTGGATAGATAATATAAGGATGTATACAGTTTTACAATATGCAGAGAACAATGTGAGTTGAGAAATCAGAGAGAGGAGCTGAGGGAAGTCTTGGGAGGGGAGGGTTTGTTGGGGAGGTGGGAGGGGGAAAAAGGGAAAATAATGAAGATGATTTGTTTTGATAATTTGTTATGTTGAAATTGTTAATAATTTTTTTAAAAAAGGAATAGAGGTGACCGGGACATTGTATACCCCCCTGTGGCCTTTCCGTGATTTGTTTAACTCTAGTTTTAATAATGCTTTTTGCAAGTTGCTCCCCAGCAAAGTCCTTCGCTCACAGCTGCTCCTGTAGCAGCTGAAAAGGAGCTTTTCCACGGTCTCCCTCAGGAGGTTGAGGAGTTGCCTTCCTTGGAAGTTTTTAAGCAGAGGTTGGATGGCCATCTGTCGTGGATGCTTTAGCTGAGACTCCTGCATTGCAGGGGGCTGGACTAGATAAGCCTTGGGGTCCCTTCCAACTCTATGATTCTATGAAAAATAATAGTAGTGCCAGACCATTGATCATGCTAGCCCAGAATTGACTGGCAGCAGCTGACTGGAGAGTCTCAGGTGAGCTCTTTCCCTTTCAGGATGTGTTATTCCCATCACCCGAACGCCTCCATTTAGGAACGTTTCAGCTCCTGAATGCCAAAAACCTGGAAGTAAACGCTCCGGTTTTCGGATGTTTTTCGCAAGCCGAACATCCGACACGGCTTCCGCTTGAGTGCAGGAAGCTCCTGCAACTAATCGGAAGCCATGCCTCGGTTGTCAAACATTTTGGAAGCTGGACAGGCTTCCAGAATGGTTTACATTCGACAATTGAGGTTTGACTGTATTACTGGAGGTGGCAGGGACTAAGCTTGGGATCCAATGCATGTACTCTAAAGATAAAGGTAAAGGGACCCCTGACCATTAGGTCCAGTCGTGACCAACTCTGGGGTTGTGGCGCTCATCTCACTTTATTGGCCGAGGGAGCCGGCGTACAGCTTCCGGGTCATGTGGCCAGCATGACTAAGCTGCTTCTGGCGAACCAGAGCAGCGCACGCAAAAAAGTTTACCTTCCTGCTGGAGCGGTACCTATTTATCTACTTGCACTTTGATGTGCTTTCTAACTGCTAGGTTGGCAGGAGCTGGGACCGAGCAATGGGAGCTTACCCCGTCGCGGGGATTCGAACCGCCGACCTTCTGATCGGCAAGTCCTAGGTTCTGTGGTTTAACCCACAGCACCACCCGCGTCCCACTGCATGTACTCTACCAGTGCGCTATTATCCCCGCTCCGTGTGTTTAACAAAGCACAAAGGTTAACAGACGGCAATGAAAGAACAAGCTGGGACTGACAGTTTTATTTATTGCTTCTGTTTGCCACTAGCATTTTGCCCAAGTAATTGTTTTCTTGTTTTCCTTTCTTTCAGGCCACTGAGATGTTGCTTTTCAACAAGAAGCTGACCGCAGCGGAAGCCTGTTCGCAAGGGCTTGTCACGGAGGTTTTCCCTGACCAGGTTTTCCAGAAGGAAGTGTGGGCACGGCTGAAAGCTTACGCAAGCCTTCCCAAAAATGTTAGTATTTTAAAAAAATTAAAACGCCTATTTTCCAGGCTGTAAACATACGGGTTTGCTCATCTTCTTTCTAACACATTCCACAACCACAGGAGAGCTACCGTTCCCAGAACCTTTGGCTCCAAAGTAGTTCCATTGTTCATTTCTTAGGTTTTGGCTGCATGGATGCTAACATAGCTTGCTTCTGGCACCTGGCCGTATTGCATGCATAACTCCACTAGCGATTTCCGTTCTCCAGGTGCCAGTTCTTGTGTAGCTAACATGGTGCTATCTGTGCACAAGAGGATGGTAATGGGGTGTGTGCTTGGGTGTACCCCAACATTTGCAGGAATTAGAAATGAAAGCTTTAGGGAAAAGCCCTAAGGGAGGAACCCCAAAACATCAACAGTTTCAGAATGCTGAGTGGCTATTTGTGGCAAGGATGGGCATCCGGGAAGGAGGAATTTGAATGGAATATCCTGAAATAAGCATGGCTGGTTGGAGGACTGAACAGGAAACCGCTCCACACTGTAACATGTTGTTGCAGGTCCTGCTTGTAGATAAACTATTCTTAAGCTCATGGTAGTGAGCAAATCATGCTTGGAGGTTAGTATTGTTTCTGTTTTAAACAGGGAAATTGAGACTGAGCAAATAATGGCTTTTCTGCTGTTGCCTCTGCTCTGCCTTTTTATTTACATGCATCTGCAAAACAGCTGTTGGAAATGCACAAAAGAGTTTTTTTGAGGCCAGCTGATGTACAGCTTTGATATTTAATTCAGGTAGTTTTCCAACCTACCACATGGGACTTTCATAGATCCAACATTACTCTGTCCTGAAATGTGGGAAATAATAATGAAAGGCGGGCTATAAATCTTTTAATAAATAAGTTATAAATAACTTGCAATGTAATTTGACCTTGACCTCCTCAAGGCTATGCATGTGGCAAAAGATTTATGTTGCTCCAAAGAAATATTTATTCAGGGAAAAAACAACATAAATCTACTCATATTAAGGGAGTAGGAAGGAAAAAAGGATTTCAGCCAACACTTGGACTTTGATCTAAATATTAAAATATAATAATTAATAAGCATATTAAAATTTTTACAAAAAAAACATATTCTGAGAAAACCTGCCCATAAAATCCTGAAACATCTCTAAAGGCCTGCTAATGTTTTACAGTGGTGTAAAAAAATAATATTCACATGGCTGTTTTGACTGTTTGGTTTTATGTTTGTTGTTTTCTTTCTCTTTTGGCCTTTTATTGATAATTTTTTGGGGGTGGATGGGGGCTGTTCTTTCAAACACATGTCTATCTTTGACCTTTTCAAATCCTTTGTGAGTTTTTTTGTGTGGGTCTTCTATCAGGCAGTGGAGATACAACAGTAATTATTAAACTCTGGCTTTCATCTGTCAGTTTCACCTGCTTTTCTATGATCTATTGATTGGCTACATCACTTAAAAAACTTTAGTGGTCATTAACATCTTTCTCTTGTCACAGAGGGCAATTTTTATAGCCTTATTGATTTGGTTTTCTAATTCATATGGTTAAAATCCTCTCAAAATGTGAAAGTATGAATTACACAATATTGCACTTCAGTGTGAAATGCATGTGCTTAGTTCATCTGGGAATTATGTGCTCAGAATAAAAGAATCGGATCAGGAAAAAATAGCCTGAACTGTCTTATTACCCACTTTTCTTTTTTAAAAAAAATTCCCTTAAGCCATATTATTTTCTCTCTGCTTTGGGAGTTCTAGAAGAAAAATATATACATATTTATATATACATGTATATATATATACATATATATATATATATACATATATACATATATATATAACAGCAACTTCAAAATGGCCCATTTATAGCAGAGTCAGTTTTAACAAGTATTGATGTAAGCTCTGATTTTGGACATTATCCTGGTTTGCATATTTCTCTGTCTCCAACCAATCCAGAAACCATCAGACACTGACAGATCTGTTTGACTCCAACTAATAGTACCATCTATGAAGTTCTTCTTCCATCTGTTTGTAGATTCAGGGTACAGTGGTGCCCCGCAAGACGAATGCCTCGCAAGACGGAAAAACCGCTAGACGAAAGGGTTTTCCGTTTTGAAGTTGCTTCGCAGGACGAATTCCCCTATGGGCTTGCTTCGCAAGACGAAAATACCTTGCGAGTCTTGAGATTTTTTTTCGCTTTTCCCCCCCTTTATCTAATCTGCTAAGCCTTTAATAGCCTTTAATAGCCTTTTAGCAGCTAATCCCCTAAGCCTTTAAGCCTTTAATAGCCGCTAAACCGCTAATAGCGCTAATAGCGCTAATCCGTCAATGGGCTTGCTTCGCAAGACGAAAAACCGCTAGACGAAGACTCTCGCGGAACGGATTAATTTCGTCTTGCGAGGCACCACTGTATTGGTTTCTTACTGAGGATACCATTGACACTAAATACCGTTCGGCAGTTTAATTCTGGTGAGCTTTCTGTACTGTGCAAAATCTGCAGGACCGCCCAGTGGAAATTATTACAAGCAGAAAAGCATGGCAAGATCAGCATTATCAACCTTACCTGCTTTTCATCTTGTATATGCTAACAAAGACACTCATGGCGGTAGTCTTGGTCCTGTTTAAACAGAAGAGAATTTCCTGTGCCATTTTTTCGTGCTGCACTATAATCTGCTTAAATCACAAACTTTTTTTTTTAAATTATACTTTTCAGGTTTATACATTTCACTAATTTTACAATCATTTTAACATTTCAAAACTTGACATCCTTCCCCCTCTTTCTGCGGTTCCTTAAATTTATTTTTAATACCTTCTGCATATCCAGATTAACTTAGTTTGCTCATTTATTCATCTAATTTAAATATATACTCTTATCGAACAGCAGGTTATTACAATAACCCTGCTAATGTTCTTATCTGTTTACGGTTTATGTGTAAATATTCAATAAACCATTTCCATTCTCGTGTGCAACCTTTTTGCTACATTATGCCTGCAGCCTTAGGTTAGAACCTCAACAAACATGTGATCCTAACACAGGTTTGCCGGGTGACCTTAACTTGGAGGCACTGGGAGGGAAGCAATCAACCCTTTTTACAGTTGTACCTCGGGTTAAGAACTTAATTCGTTCCGGAATTCCATTCTTAACCTGAAACTGTTCTTAACCTAAAGCACCACTTTAGCTAATGGGGCCTCCTTCTGCCGCTGCGCCGCCGGAGCACGATTTCTGTTCGCATCCTGAAGCAAAGAGAGCCAGTGTGGTGTAGTGGTTAAGAGCGGTAGTCTCGTAATCTGGGGAACCGGGTTCGCTTCCCCGCTCCTCCACATGCAGCTGCTGGGTGACCTTGGGCTAGTCACACTTCTCTGAAGTCTCTCAGCCCCACTCACCTCACAGAGTGTTTGTTGTGGGGGAGGAAGGGAAAGGAGAATGTTAGCCGCTTTGAGACTCCTTAAAGGGAGTGAAAGGCGGGATATCAAATCCAAACTCTTCTTCTTCTTCAAAGTTCTTAACCCGAGGTACTGTTTCTGGGTTAGCGGAGTCTGTAACCTGAAGCGTCTGTAACCTGAAGCGTCTGTAACCTGAAGTGTATGTAACCCGAGGTACCACTGTATACACTAGCTTCTTTCAGGGGAAAGCTGCTGTTGGGTAGAGAGAAATATAATTCACACTAATCCATTGTACCCTGCACCCATCCTAACCCCCAACCCCCAAATTTGTATTACCAGCCAGATTTGGGATTTTGTGGCTTGGAATTGCACATTCCACACTTAACGATGGATTTTTTATTTATTTATTTCTCTCTCCAGAGTTTGGCAGTCTCCAAGCAGTTGATGCGAAGCATGGAAAAGGAGAAGCTCCATGAAGTTAACTCCCAAGAGTGCGAATGTCTCAAAGGGAGATGGCTGTCCGATGAGTGCATGAACGCCATAATGAGCTTCTTTCAGAAGTCCAAGCTCTGATCTCTTGCCAACTGCGCAGAAAGAAATGTCTGTAGAATAGTTCCGTTCCTCTTACCAGAAGACTAAATTTCATTCAACGAATCCTTTGAATACATATCCACGTTGTGCCTTAACAGGGACGAGCGTAATCCGTTTAACGTGCAGGTGGCACCTTCGCTCCTAACGTTGTAAAGCTTCTCATCTTTTGGAATTTCCGTCTTTTGTATTTGGACATGAATTTGTGGTGCCAGAAACATCGTATTCCTCCCTCTGGGCACTCAGGTGGGAAAGCGCTCACTGCTTTGCATGCGGAGCGGATTTCTTTGAATACGACGATGACTGTTTGTCTTCCGAAAGGGGTCACTGATTCAATGTCCCCAAACTTTTTAAGCTCTTGAATAACTGACTGTCTGTCATAGTGGGCCGACATGCTATTTGGTGTCCATCTATTGCGAAGCGGGGGGAGAACGTAGCATTTGTGTTAGCGGAAAATTTGAATTAAAACATTTACTTACAAATACTTTGGAACCTTATAACAGTTCTGTGCGTTTTGCTATGTTATGTGACACTCACTCAGTGTCGTGGGTTAATACAGTCCTTTTGCAAACCGCAGCAGGCATTTGTGTCCATCTTTGGTCTTTAAATTTAATTCCAGGGCAAATAGAAACATCTCTCACTGTAAAGCTGGGAAAATAAGGCTTTGGATGTTTTAAACAATAAAGCCAATGGGAAATGTGTGTGTGTAAGCGGGGGGGGGGGAGGGAGGGAGACGGAGGAGAAGAGGAAGAGGGAAAAGGTTTAGGTGAAGAGTTTCATTCGGTAAACACTCCTGGTGTACATTGCAGGAATTGTAACTTGCTCAGCAGATATTAGGGCCAAGATTATGAAGATTGGCTTTTACTTTGCAGTTGGGTGGGGGGGAATCCTAGCATAGGGATAAGCAAAACCATTTTCCTGCTCCCACACCTGCCATACTACATACGACACAACAGAGAATAATCCAAGTTGGCGTTTCTCCAGCAGTTTTTGGACAACAGTTCCCATCGTCCAAGACTGCTGGTCCTGTTAGCTAGGGATGATGGGAGTTGTAGTCCAGAAACAGCTGGAGACCCAAGTTTGGGAAGCCCTGATACAAGCGGAAGGCACAATTGGATTGGCTTAGAACTGGGATGGGAGAACCTGTGGTCCTCCAGATGTTGCCGGACTACAGCTCCAATCATCCCTGACATTTGCCATTCTGCCTGGGGCTGATGGGAGTTTACCCACATTTCTTAGTGTAGCAGGCTTCCCCCTACCCCTTGGCTTAGAACAGATGCTTAGAGCCACATGTGCTGTTAGCCATTCCATTGGATACAACGCCACACTCGTAAAACTACACTTCAGTTGAGACCAATTGTTCTTTTTGTGTAACGAGAAAAAAAATACCCTAGAGTGTGGTAGTTGGGATATTATTTTGTTCCACAACTTTCAGTGTTTTGACAAGTATAAATTGCACACGGTGTTCTGCTCCAGAGAGAACATTGCATAAGAAAGTGTGACCTGATTTTTTCCTGGCCATTTGTTTTAACTTTTCATATTTTGGAGTCTCAAATTTTCACAGGTAGAGATACTTTTCAGAGTTTTATCAAAAGGCATTTTAACTATCTGCCAGACAAGTACCTTCAGTGGCTGAATGTATAAGTTTTTCATACCCTGTGACTGGGCCAAATCCTAAATTTATAGCAGAAGAACATAAGAGACAGTAAGTTCCCTTCAGGAACAAGAGCATCTACTACAGAAATAACCCAAATATTAGAAGCAAGCCAGAATAAGCTGAGTTCCTGATCCTTATTTCTTGGTTGGGAGGAAGGAGAGGAAAATATTCTAATAGCATTTGCCCCTGATTCTTTGAAAGGTGGTGTGAAAACAATGGATAAAACACATTTTTTCTGTAAGAAAGGATTATTGTGGCAGATTGCCAAATTTTTACTGACCCTGTTCATGTGCCTTTTACAGCAGCTTGATATACAAATAAAGTTAAGTGAACAAGTAAAGCTTTTTCTGGTGTAGCGACCAGGTGAAACTTTTCCTAAATATTTTCATAACTGGAAAGGCTCTGCTTTGTCAAATTTCTGTGAGTTTAAGGGACGCGGGTGGTGCTGTGGGTTAAACCACAGAGCCTAGGACTTGCTGATCAGAAGGTTGGCGGTTCGAATCCCCACGACGGGGTGAGCTCCCGTTGCTCGGTCCCTGCTCCTGCCAACCTAGCAGTTCGAAAGCACAAAGTGCAAGTAGATAAATAGGTACCGCTCCGGCGGGAAGGTAAACGGTGTTTCCGTGTGCTGCTCTGGTTCGCCAGAAGCGGCTTAGTCATGCTGGCCACATGACCTGAGCTGTACACCGACTCCCTCGGCCAATAAAGCGAGATGAGCACTGCAACCCCAGAGTCGGCCACGACTGGACCTAATGGTCAGGGGTCCCTTTACCCTTTACCTTTTTAAGGTGCTAGTAGGAGCAGAACCAGTAACAAGACCAATATGGGACAAAAAATGAACTGGTTTGTAATGTGAAAAGAAGCAAAATAAATAAGTGGTTCTCTCTGTCTGTCACTCTCTGAAATGAACAAATCAGATAGTGGTATCAATGAAGCAGCATCTCTCTGACATTTTTTTGCCTGTGGACTCAGTACTGAAATTATTTGCTGCAACTGCACACAGACTTTTGCTGCAACTCTTGCCTCCTCTCACTTTAAGATTGCCCATTGTCTCTCATCCTCCATCATGCCCAGGCAGAAAGGTCATGTTGTTCCTGCCAACATCCCAAAGCACACACAGACGGAAAGGTTGCTGATGAAGCACTTGGACCACAACTCCATTTCTCAATTTCCCAAAGGTGTTACGATTCCTTCCCTGAAATATGTGGCCATCCTCGGATTGGCTGGATTTAGCAACCTGTCACTCAAAGCCACCTGGGCACAAGAGGCCTTAAATATCAATAGGGTCCCCATAACAGTTGTCCCTCTTGAGCCCCTCAACTGGCAATGATGCCAGAAGCTGCCAGTGCCCAAGGCGACTATTGAGAGTTAGGTGTGTTTTCTTATGTTTTGCCTAGTGCAATACCTTTTGATCTGCACGCATGCGATTTCTCCTCCTTTCCTATTGCATGTGCTCCTTGGAATAAGCAGCTCAATTGGATTTATGGGTTGCATTGGTTTCAGGACACACTCAAGGGCTGGTAGCGCTCTCTTGTTTGGACAATGCTACTAGTTGTTAAAGGGACTCGGATGGCGCTTTGGGTTAAACCACAGAGCCTAGGGCTTGCTGATCAGAAGGTCGGCAGTTCGAAACTCCGCAACAGGGTGAGCTCCCGTTACACGGTCCCTGCTCCTGCCAACCTAGCAGTTCAAAAGCACGAAGTGCAAGTAGATAAAGAGGTACTGCTCCGTTGGGAAGGTAAACGGTGTTTCCGTGCGCTGCTCTGGTTCGCCAGAAGTGGCTTAGTCATGCTGGCCACATGACCCAGAAGCTGTACGCCGGCTCCCTCGGCCAATAAAGCCAGAAGAGTGCTGCAACCCCAGAGTCATCCGTGACTGGACCTAATGGTCAGGGGTCCCTTTACCCTTTACCTTTACTAGTTGTTAAATTGCCTGGTAGAGCAGGAGGAGAGAGAGGCTGAAGTTGTGCAAGAGATTTGGAATTCCGCTGGCTGTTCCTCCTCCTCCCAGGGAGACCACCATACAGCAGTGGGAATCCAACCCCCCTTGCTCTCAGTGACACATATGCCGGAGGCAACAAGTCGAGAGGAAAACAGATCAGGGCAACCACTATCCTTCAGGGGTGGCACTGGAGCATGTGACACCATCTGCCACAAACCCTAGTTTATGATTGTGGCACCACCCACCACAAACCCTAGCTTATTTTTCTTACTTATTTCTAGCTGGAGATCAAGCTGCAGATAGAGAAGCTGGTCAAGAAGGGAATGGGGCTAGATTTGACTCCCTTACTCTTTCCTTGCTAAATAGCTGATCAGCAGTCTCGTCTTTTTTAAAAAGGGTTTGTGCTTTCCATTGCATTAGTGCAACAGTGTTCATTTTCAGGTGCGATCCTACTGACATGCAAATGCTTGGAGAAATTCCTTGTCTTTATGTCCCAACCATTAAAAAATCGGAACGCCATCGCCTTGTTGCGTATGTCTTCCAGACAGTTAAAGCCACAAACACCTCTTGGTATACTGATAGATGTTATGTGTTTATAAACCCTGTATCGACATAGCCTTTGGTCACTGGAGAAGAAGTAAAATGAGAATGAACTGTGTCCATATAGCAAAATAATCCTGGAATAACTTCATTGTTCTGTTCCAAGGGGGAAGCAGGCAGTGGTGATGCAGTCACCTTTCCATTGCAGTCTCGGCAACAGGAGATCTGGTGGCAGGGAAACCTTTCTGTTTATGCAATGTGATGGGCTTTCTAGCTAGAAACTGAGTGTGCACCTATATTATTAGAGATTTGGAGTGGGGAACATTTCCCCCACAAAAAGAAAGTAGAGGATACAAGTATCCCTAAACAAAAAAGAAGTTATACAATAGATGCATTCAAAAAGAAAAAAGAAACACTTTTGTATAATATCCTACCTTGCAATTATGGTTGCCAGTGGAGCATCATGTCTATACACCCCAAAGGCTTTATGTTCCTTGGCAATCTTGTTGGAAAGAAATCTTTTTGTTAGGGGCATGTGATCTGGCTCTGGTGAACAGTATGCTCCTTGCAGTAGGTCGCTAGCTGTTTCAAAAGTGTCAAAGTAGGAGACCTTGTAACCTGAAGAGGGAGGGGTGGAAAACAAGAATGGTTTATTGCTTTAAGTATACAGTATTAGAATGGGGTTTGTTGCATTTTTATTTTACTTCTCCTGCTGCTGTACCTTTAACAGCAACTAACTTCATCTGATCAGGGAGAATGGTCTCTGAACCCCCAGACCTTCCAGCAGATTACATGGTGTTGGGAGATACCAGAGGTTGATCTTCTGGTCCAGCAGTTTATCTTCCATCCAGCTCCTGACTGGCAACAGTGGATGTAGACACTGAATAGAAGGACCTCTTTGCAGAAGTTCATTTTGATCATTTTGGCTTCCCATAGATTGTCCCCATGCAAGATTTATCAAATGACAGAGGTGGCCTTCCAATGATAGTGCGGGCAGAAGAAGGTCTCCCATACATCCTTGCCTCCCTACAGATCAGACTGGATATAGGGCTAGCTCCCAAAATACTCGGGCACAACCATCTTTGTCATTAGTTGCAACAGTGCACTAGCCAGCCGTTCCATAATCAGATATTTCTTCAGGAGCACCATGTTCCTGGCACTCCCCAGTTATCCACAGGTCTGTGCTGGAGGACTTTAACATTCACGCTGGGGCTCCCTTGTCAGGAGTGGCTCAGGATTTCATGTCAGCCATGACGACCATGGGTCTGTCCCAAGTAATTTTTGACCCTACCCATGCTGCAGGGCACACTCTGGACTTGGTTTTCCTCACTGGCTTGGACAGTGGTGGTCTTACGAGTGGAGGAACTTTCTATAGTTCTTTTGTCATGGTCAGATCACACTACCTGGTGGGGTTTACACTTGCTAGAACTCAGAGCCTCTGCAGTGGTGGGGGACCGATTAAGATGATCCACTCCAGGAGACTGAGGGATCCAGATGGCTTCCTGATTGCTCATGGGGAGTTTCCTGTTGCCTCGGCAGGTGATTCTGTTGAAGCCCTAGTGGATCTCTGGAATGGGGAAATGACTGTGGCCAGGCATGGCCAAACTTGGCCCTTCAGATGTTTTGGGACTACAACTCCCATCATCCCTAGCTAACAGGACCAGTGGTCAGGGGTGATGGGAATTGTAGTTCTAAAAACATCTGGAGGGCCAAGTTTGGCTATGCCTGACTGTGACTGTGACACTATTTCTCCTGAGCATCCCCTCTCATGAAGTGGTTCCTGGTTCTGTGGGGAACTGATGACAATGAAACACATGAGACAGCAACTAAAGTGATGTTGGTGGAAAACTTAGGAGTCCGGCCAAATACAGGCCAGAGTCTCTTTGAATACCCATTCCATGGCAGTGTAGGCAGTGAAAACATCTTCCTTTCTCTGCCTCCATTGCATCAGCAAGGAGCTGTTCAGCGGAGCTGTTTCAAGTGGTCAGGGGTCTTTTACACTCTGGCCGACATTAGGAGAATTTAGACCAGGCTTCTTCAACCTCGGCCCTCCAGATATTTTTTGCCTACAACTCCCACGATCCCTAGCTAGCAGGACCAGTGGTCAGGAATGATGGGAATTGTAGTCTCAAAACATCTGGAGGGCCAAGGTTGAGGAAGCCTGATTTAGACTACTCAACTGCCCACTGTGAACAATTTGCTCAGCACTATGCTTGCAAAATTGAATGGATCTGTACTGACTTGGACGCTATAGTTGATAGCCTGCATTTGACCCTTCCTTGTGGCCCACAAAGCAGATGATGAATTAAAATGAAACTGTTTTCTACCTCATTCATGGGGTTCTTTTGTCTTTCATTGCACAATTGCGCTGAACTGTGGCAGTAGGTTTATGCAGGCTCACTGCTTTGCAGTAAAATTCTGTTTCATTGTAAGTTGTCATTAAATTGTATGGTTTTTGTATTTTTAAACTGTTTTAAATTTTAAAGAGCACCTATTATAAATGTGAAAGAATCATCTAGCACTGTTATTGGGTAAAATGACTTACAGTTGACTCTTATGGAAATTTACCCAAAAATATTGATTTCAGTGGCACTTACTCCCAGGGAAGTGTATATAGGAGTAGAAGCAAAAATAGACAAGACCATTGTCTTAGGGTAGCAAAATGCTTATAATGATGTGATACTACTTTTAGAGGTGGTGCATATTTTATATTGGGGAGGGATGGGAAGGCAATATATTTTTTAACTTAACACATATCATAATGGGGAAGGAATTATCATGGCAAGCTACCATGAACATTGTTTAAATCAAAGCTGCACAGCTTGAATGCTTCTTGCTATTTGTTTTTCTGTCCAGAAATATGTGAGATTTCGTTTTCAATCTCTTTTCATCCCCCCCTTCTGTATTTTACCTCTTAAAATCTCCAGCAAATTAAACATGCCTGTCTCCCAAAATAATGAATTGATTTTTTCCAGATGGACAGTGTTGAAGTTTTCTTTATCTAGGGAGGATTAATTTTATTGAAATACAATCCTTTCTTTATCCCACTTCAGACACTTCTTTAATCTTCTGCAAAGTACTATTAAAGCCATTTCTGGCCTTCATTATCCTCTGCCTTGTGAAAGAGCAGACACACCGTTTCAGGCTGTAGCTGCTAAGAAATTGTGACTCTAGGCGTTCATTTTCTGAACCAGCCACATAATTGCTATATTAATATGTGAAAATGTGGTTTAATAATATTTGCCTGTGGCATGCATCCCCTTCAACCTAAAGGTCTCGTATTTAGGTAATAAATATTGTTTAGTTCTAAGCTTCCTACCCGCATAGCTGTACCTTTCCTGTCCAAAGGCTATTTAAACACTGTCAATCTCTGTTCCCATTTTAGTAATAGTGACAGTTATATATCTCCAAGTTTTCATTTCAGTAAATATTTTCATATTCCTCTTCTTTAAACCCACCCCTTAACCTTTCCCCTTAAAAACAGCCTGGCGTGCAGACATTAGAACCAGCAACTCTTATTTCCAGTGATGCAAAATATAGTCTGCACGTACTTTTTTCCTGGTCTTCATAAGCACACCGAAGAAGCAGCTCTCTCAGAGGGTCTTGCAAATTGCCACAAAGTGCGGAAAGCTTTTGGAACACCTGACATATGTCTTCCTCCTTATCGCAGCTGCTTAATTTCTGATAAATGACCAGTGGTGGCAAGTTCAGCTTAGATCTTGTCACCCACCTGGTGCCTGAACCGAAGCTTCTCTTGCTTGCTTGCTGGTTCGTGGGGAGTGGCGGCAAATTCGGAGGAGAGGTCTTCACAGGCATATTTATTCCTCTTTTCTTGTTCAAAAAGGTTTGTTAGGAATGTAGCTACCACCCAGTGGAGCACAGCAAACATGTTTGTTTCTCTTTCTGCGCCAGAGGCTTTTTCCAGCCCTTGCTATGAATTCCAGACATCACAAGAGCAATGTGACATCACAAACAGAAGGACGGGGAGGAGTTGGGTGGAAGAAACTATATTGTAGGAACATGCTCAATGTAGCTATTATTATTATTATTACTATTATTATTAAATTTATATACCATCCTATACCCACAGGTCTCAGGGCGGTTCACAGAATAAAAAAAAAAACTACCGTATTTTTCCATGTATAAGACTAGGGGTTTAAAATTGGGGCTTGTCTTATACACGGGTAATACTAAGGGGGTGTTTTCTTGGGGGTGTCTTATAGACGGAAAAATATGGTATATAACCACAAAATACATAATCAAAATAAAAACAACAACCCTATAACACACCCCCCCCAAAAAACTCCTCACATCTTAAAAGGGCATAGGATGTTAATCAAATTAACCAAAAGGCCTGGTTAAAAAGGAATGTCTTTGCCTGGTGCCTAAAGGTGTATAATGAAGGCACCAGGCAAACTTCCCTAGGGAGAGAATTCTACAGAAGGGGAGCCACTGCAGAGAAGGCCCGTTCTCGTGTTGCCACCCTCCGGACCTCTCGAGGAGGAGACACATGAAGGAGGGCCTCAGAAGATGATCTCAGGGACCGGGTAGGTTCATATGGAAAGAGGCGCTCCTTGAGGCATTGCGGTCCTGACCCGTTTAAGGATTTATAGGTCAAAACCAGCTACCATTCTCCCCAACCCATAGTCGCTGTCATCCATTTTTTGCTTTAGCTAGACAGAACAGTTGTTGTTGTTAAACAAAATTTATATAATGCTTGGTTATAAGGAAATCTCTAAGTGGTGGCACAAACCACACCTTAACATTCAACACACATTTAAAGCACATCCCAAAGAATCCTAAGAACTATAATTTGTTAAGGGCGCTGGAAATTGTAGTTCCGATAAGGAGAAACTACGGTTCCCAGGATTTGGGGTGGGGAGTCATGGGGTTTAAATGTGCAGTGAATATGCTTTAAATGTATGGCTGTGTTGGGACAGCTTTCGTCATACACTTTAAATGTGACCTTTCTTCTGTCACGTTTTCTGGGCCAATGTTCTTGCCATATTTCATTTCATTTCACTTTTGTCTTTCACTGTCCTGGTGCTTTTTTCCTCTCATGCTTTTTAAAATTATTATTAAATTTTACATATATAAACAGAAAGACAAGAATTCACAATAAGCCCAACCAAAACATAGCCACACCTCACCACAATTCACCTAATATGAAAGGCATGAAATAAATAAGCTAGTTTGAGAAGGGATTATGTCCACTGAAATGGATTTACGGCATTCTTCCAACCTCTAGCAGCCACTATCCCCAACGCTGTTAGTAAATAGCCAGTTAAGTGTTCATACAATAAATATTGATTATCTCCATCAAATATACTTAGCAAAGCTGTTTCGGGGGGGGGTGCGCGCGCGCGTGCGTTTACAGGCTTTCCCAGAATTTTTGCAACGTCCTGAAACACTTCTGTCCAAAATCTTGCCACCCTATTGCAATTCCACTCCATATGTGTTAAAAGGTAAAGGGACCCCTGATCATTAGGTCCAGTTGTGGCCGACTCTGGGGTTGCGGCGCTCATCTCGCTTTATTGCCGAGGGAGGCGGCATACAGCTTCTGGGTCATGTGGCCAGCATGACTAAGCTGCTTCTGGCGAACCAGAGCAGCACACGGAAACACCGTTTACCTTCCCACCAGAGCGGTACCTATTTATCTACTTGCACTTTGAGGTGCTTTCGAACTGCTAGGTGAGCAGGAGCAGGGACCGAGCAACGGGAGCTCACCCCATCGCAGGGATTCGAACTGCCAACCTTCTGATCGTCAAGCCCTAGGCTCTGTGGTTTAACCCACAGCGCCACCCGTGAGCTATTAAATCCTGCACCTTCCCTGCCTCACCCCCGGCAGGTGAGACTTACCCATTCTTGCAATTTTCACCAGTGTTAGGTACCATTTTTGTATTATTTTCAAAAGCATTTCTTTTAGCCAAAGTGGTTTTGTAAGGCAATTTACACCACATAGGAACCGAACATTCATCTGAGATACCCAGCTGGCTTCCAATCTAATTCCCACAACCGTTTAAAGGTATTTTAAAATCCTGTGTCCAGTTTATCTAACAGACTGTGCAAAGTAGATATTAACCCCTTCTCTTGTTCACCTAGATTAAGACATACGTTTTCAAATGGTGTGAAATCCCTAGTGCCTTGTTGAAGAATATGCTTTTGTCAGATAAATTTGCTGACTTTTGCTACCACATCAGTCCAGTCAGCATCCCTGGGAATTGATTTAGCATTTATATAAAAGTCTTGAGGCTTGTCCAAATGGTTTTCTTTTATTGTTACGGTATGTCCTTTGAATAGAATTGTGATGTTCATATATCAGGAATAACAGGGAGATTACTCAACATTAAGGTTTCCTTTCTATGCTTCCTGGCCTTCAAAATTGTTTTCAGTGTATTGTCCCGCACTTTTAAACTACTGTCAATTTCTTTTTTGATTAATTGACTGCGTTGTGGGTTGGATTGTTGCAATAAAGAATGCTCTGTTTGTACCCATTGTCTGTCTCTTGAGCGATTAATACAGGATAGCAGATGCCAAAGTTGGTAAGCTTCATAGAATAATTTCAATAAGAGAATTCCCCAATCTCCATCCTTCAGTTTTGTATACCTTAGAACCTTGAAGGTCTATGACCTTCTACAGGAAAATACAAAAGTTTCCAGTCTAGCTTGCCAGAATTTGAAACAGCGGTAGGAATTTCTGTGGGAAGAACTTTAAAAAGGTTAGGTTTGCTTAGGCGCAACTATCATTTTTGTCAGGGCAATTCTATCAGACAGGGAGAAGAACATCAAGCAATTCCAACATGACAGGTCTTTCAATCCATTTGACCACACTTGGCCATGTTGTTGTTTAGTCGTTTAGTCGGGTCCGACTCTTCGTGACCCCATGGACCGGAGCACGCCAGGCACTCCTGTCTTCCACTGCCTCCTGCAGTTTGGTCAAACTCATGCTGGTAGCTTCGAGAACACTGTCCAACCATCTCGCCCTCTGTCGTCCCCTTCTCCTTGTGCCCTCCATCTTTCCCAACATCAGGGTCTTTTCCAGGGAGTCTTCTCTTCTCATGAGGTGGCCAAAGTATTGGAGCCTCAGCTTCACGATCTGTCCTTCCAGTGAGCACTCAGGGCTGATTTCCTTAAGAATGGAGAGGTTTGATCTTCTTGCAGTCCATGGGACTCTCAAGAGTCTCCTCCAGCACCACACTTGGCCATAGTTGGTTATAAACTATTTGTTAGCGTTCCTAGTTACATGTACTATAAAGTATTTAAAAGTGGTGTGTACCAACGGGGCACCTAGCACTTTAGACCCGTTCAGTTGGTCTTATGACTGTAACTTAACAAATCAAATTGGGTGTCCAGAGTGCAGTCTTGTCCAGTTTTGTTGCATGGGTTTCAGCTGATGCGGCTGAAGGATAAGGACAAGGTGTCTAGTCAGATCTGTGCAACCACCAGTGTCAAAGTAATGTATTTTAATATTTTGTTGGAAGCCGCCCAGAGTGGCTGGGGAAGCCCAGCCAGATGGGCGGGGTATAAATAATAATAATAATAATAATAATAATAATAATAATAATTATTATTAAACATCAGCTTTGTTGGACTGGTCATGTTGTTCGGATGCCTGATTATTGTCTTCCAAAGCAACTACTCTATTCTGAACTTAAAAATGGAAAGTGTAATGCTGGTGGTCAACAAAAGAGGTTTAAAGACTCTCTCAAGGCAAATCTTTAAAAATGTAGTACAGTGGGGACTTCCGGCGAGGCAGCATGGAGGCTGCAACAGCAGAAAAGAGCTCCTGAAGCCAGCCAGAGTAAAAGGCTCTGTCTGGCCGACTCCTGGGCTCCCAGGACTGCTGCCACCAGCACCGCCAGCGGAGAGGAATCGGGGGTGCCTGGGGAGCCTATCAAAG